TGTGTTATGAATATTTGAGTTATGTGATAATGTTGTGGAGGAGGCAACAGACTAGTGGAATGAAGATGTTGTTATTATCTGGAAAATTTTTATGCAATGAAAAGTTGTTAATTGAGAGCTGAGGGTGTTGACACCAAATTTGCATTTGTGCACTATGCATGTAGAGTGCCTAGCTGATCCGTTACACTAAACTGTCAAAATGTACAATGAAAACGGGACCCTTAATAGCACAAATGTTTGCCATGTTGAAGTTAGAAGAAATATTGTTAACCTTTGGTATATTTGTGTTCAGTTCAGTTCAGGTTGCTTTTGTGAGGGGGCATTTTTTTTGTGTTAACCAGGCATCCTTGTTGTCATTACAAAATAATACTTGTTTAAAATATCAGGAAAGAGATGCTATCATTTGGTACAGAATGTTGCATTATGTAACAAATTAATATATCAAAAGAAAAAAAAACAAAACAGTAATTGTTACTACAATTGCCAATATATAAACACCGGTCTTCTACTTGGTGCTCTCGTCTTCCTTTTTACACTCTATTCCCCACCATCCGCCTGCCCCCTCCCCCCAAAAAACAACAACAAAACAACAACAACAGAAACAAAACAACAACAAAAAAAACCCCAAAAATATAAAATTCTTAAATGTGTAAAATAGTTTGGTATCTTCTTTTAAAAATTTGTTATAGAATTATAGGATAAAATTATAAAATGATTTTCTCCTGTGTTGGTGGCCAGTTATATGGCATCCAGCTGTAGAGCGATATCAGCTGAAGGTTTTAATTTGTCTGAGAGGAATTTGATAACTATACTTCAAAGGTGCCTAAAGCCTGTAGATTTATATTGAATTATAAATACATAGATCTTTCCTCTATGCTGGTTATATCATATTGAAGTTATATAGAGTAATGATATAAACGATTTTGTTTGTGAGACCATGGGTATGATGATGATATATTACATGATGTATTACAGTGTACAATACCGATACAAATGTAGGTTTATTTACAAAATATGTTTGACCTATATTATTATGTTATATATCTATATTAAATTGAGATTTACTTTCCCTGTCTGAAGTGTGGGGGGTTATAGATCACTTTTAAATAGAGTGACCACAAAATTAAGACTCTGTGATAGAGTTCACTACTGTTCTGTCTCGTTGATGATGAAACCATGATTTTGGCTGGCGTGACAAACTCTAAATAATTGATAACAAATATTGCCAAAAATGGAAGTCCATTTACAACATATATTGTAATTGTAAGGTTATGGTAAGGTTAATTTCAGCAGATATTAGCTAAGAATCATGTAATTAGAGCTGCAATTTATTTGATAATTAATTACTCCTGCATGCTGAGCTTTTAAAAGCGATATACATGTATACTTGAAGATTATTGGATAATCAATTCACTTTTAAAGAATAGTATCATTAATTAACTTAAATCAGGTTACTATTTGTATTAATATTTATGAATCTTATTATTTTATAATCATCATGTATGCTTGCATAAAATCTTGTTCCTTATTTCAAGGGCCGCAATTTTTATCTCCCATACGGAAATTTCATTAAAAATGAAATATATGAAAATTATGAGATAGGTGAGTGTGCTAAAGGCCTCAACAGACGGTAGGATTTTGAAGTACAACACCAATTAAAACTAAGATGTACAGATAAATCTTAATGTGTGAAGGCTACTATTTTTTGATTTCGGAAACCTTATGTCTAGATGTAAGGGATAGGACATGTTCTATTTTGAAAATCTTGTCCTACCGATTTTTATAGACCTCCCACAATGACAAGTAACAGATAAGCAAATTATCTCCTGATAATGGGTGTTATGAATGAAATTCCAGAACAATTAGGGCTAAAAGGTAAACATAGTAGTAAGATGGGGTAAAAATGATGTTGAAAAACTCTTCAGGAGACCCAAAGTTGTGTTATGTTTGAATCCCAAATTATTCCGAAAATGATTATGTCACGGTATTGAATTGTTCTCTAATTAGGGGAGGGGAGGTAGTTTGTAGGCGGCCAGATAGCTTAGTCAGCAGAGCCGCAGTACGGTATTCTGAGGGTCCCAGGTTTGAGTCTCGGTCAGGCTTCACATTAAAATTTTTTTTTTTTAAATGGATGTCTTTCAATCATTACTCATGGCGAAAAAAGTATTTAGTGAGTAAATGTATGTAAAGGATCAATGTAAAGGGGTCCTTTTTAGGGGAAACCTCAGATGATTCTTACAGTGTAGAATTACCGTCTGAATGCAAGTGTTGTATAGCTTTGAAAATTGTACATCTTTTCTCTAATTAGTGCTGTACAACTAAATCCTACCGTCTGTTGAGGCCTTAAGTCACCTTTTTTTATGAAAATTACGATAACCTCAGTTGTTTGATTGTACTCAGCGTTTAACTATACTATTTTCAAAACTAATGTCACGAGAGAACGACAAATCTACTTCACATGTTATCTCAGTCACGATAACTGTATTGACATTTGGTTCACAAAGTGTTTGTTTTAAATGATCTCATTGTATTTTTATGATCTTCGATCATGATCTTATGAAACAAGTCTTCAAAAATTGGTATGTGTGAGGAAATTTTTCTAAGAGAAAGAATTGATCATAATTTTAAGTTGCAGCTTTTACCATACATCATCATCCATAGTAATCTTATTTTTTCGGAAAAAAAGAAATTTAAGCAGATGGAGAAAGAACTAGATGTTATCAATGTATAACTGATAATTCTCTAATGGTTTGTCCAGCTATGAATTTTGAATTTTAATTGGTCCATTATGATTATGTAAAAATGAATTAAGGGGTTTTCATATTGAAGACAGTGCTGAAATTGTGGAGTTTCTTAGCATACTTTTAGTATTAGCTGGGTTAACTGGAATGACACTACAGAAATAAATATATCTTGTCTTGTTTCTCTTAAAAGTTAAAACTTTCATGCTTGAAATTTTCATTATGTTGACAAAAGAAAACAAAATGTAATTTCACCCCTTCTTGGCTGCCATCCCCATTTACAGAAAAAAAAATGCAAATTTCAAGCATGGAAGCTTAAGCTTGTAACTTGAGTTCAGGCTTAACCTGTACTGTTAGGGAGTCGAACCGGTGTTGCCCAGTTCGCATTCCAAAGTTTTACCTATTAAGCTAACTCAGGATGGTACACTGACAATTGCAGGGCTCAGAAGAGCTCCCTTTATGGTGCTGATATTGGGCAAGACATCCCCTAAGTTAACCAAAATTTGCAAATTGGCATTTTCTAAGAGTTACGAGTTTTAGTTGTTACCATTCTAATCTTGTGTTGGAAAAAGAAATTCAGGCTGTACTTCAGCATGTACAGAAATGATCAGTTCCATGGTAAAGTTAAGGCAACCAGTACTCAGGTAAACTGCTTGACAGCCTGCCCAGGAACGATGCTGACTGGATGAACTGTGCTCTGGTAAATTCAACGTTGCTTACTTCCATGATCTGGAGGGTAAACACTAAACTACCACAGCAATAATTGTTACTTCAATTGTTATTATGAAGATATGAAAGCATATGATTTTGGTTATTATATGCTCTGGGATGGTACTGAAAAGCAAGTGGGTTATAGCAAATCAATATAGGCCTATTTTCTGGGGAAATTTGACCTATCAATGATTGTGAAGAGGAAATGAAACAGTGTTGGTGCAATTTCCATTATATTTATTTCGATTAATAATAAGTTATGGCAATCAAACCATATTTTCTCCACAGACTTGTTGTATATTGCAATAATATTCATTAAAGTCAAGTGTATGCTTTTTGCTGAGTCTGTAACATATATAATATAAAATGTATTCTTTTGATCAACCTTTTAATCTGCTAAATTTTGCATAAAAGTCTTTTATAGTCTATCCCCCTGCTTATAAAGAATGGATCCCTTGTTTGTTGATCTAAGAGATTTCAATATCAAAATGTATAAAGATATATATATATATATCTCATATATATATATCTTTGCTGCATGCAGTTTACAAAATATAATGCCAAAATGCATAATTTTATTGTTTTTAAATTCTATTAAAATGTTTCATACATGATTGTAGCTTTATACAATTTAAACTTTTAGGATTTAATCTTAAACAGCCAACATTAAAAAAATATCCCCCCCCCCAAAAAAAAAAAAACAAAAAAAAACAAAAACAAAACAACCCCATATGATTTGTATTCATATATGTTATTAAATAAATGAAAAATTCATATATGTTATTAAATAAATGAAAATCTTTTAGTTATTAAATTGCCATTGCCCTGCTAAGTTTATATAGTCTATGATTGTATTAGTTTAAATAAGTTGAGTTAGTACTGCAGTTTGAATTTGGACCTGATCTTTGTTGATTATTATACTCATACAGTACTAAAAATTATAATTAATGCAAAGACAGAAAAAGGTAATGCCACATAGATATGCAGGTTGCTATAGGCTTAATTGCTGTGCATTCTAATGGTGTGCGTTCACACATATTAGCTGCCAGAGAGTTAAAAGATTGCATCAAAAGAAGGGAAAAAATGAGAAGGCAGATTCATGTTTTCATGAAAATTTTTAAACATACATGTATTTAAAAATAAAATATTGTGAACTGAACAAAGAAAATAGTATACACATGGCACAAAGCACTTGCAATCTATGTAAAGTATCAAAAAGACATCAAAATAAGCAAAAAAAGCCATTACCCTTACTGTGTTAGTCACACAGTAGAAATATACTGATAAATACTACAAATTCAGTCCTTAATTACACATAACTTGTAAATTATTTCATGAAATTATTTCTTGATTCTTATTTCTTGAATCTTAGTGCATTTTTCCATAAAATTTTAATTTTGTCATGATTATTTTTTAAAATATTTTCGCTCATCTTGAGGCATGCAGCCTTAAAGTATAACAAAATACCTAAATATTTATTAATGAGTTCAGTAGATATTAAATAATGATTGATGATAAATAAACAACTGAAGTTTGTCTTTATTTCAGCGGGAGCATTAAAAGAATTTGGTTCATTGATGAGCAGAATAGAAGATGAAAGAGAAAGAATGGTAAGTCAAGTAACCACATGTATAGATTTATAAATATTATATTCTGTTCCTATAGTAACACTGACATGTTGATTAACCTGCGCACTACTAAATTTTGTGTAATGGATTTGTCCTGCTTTGAATTTGGAACAGTCCATTGTGAGTTTAGGGTTTTTTTTGGATCAAATATAGAAACTTAAAGCAGCACAGTAACAAGTGTAGTGACGGTTCAAGCATTCTTGCATATGCATTCTTGCATATCGGACAGGATTATCTACAGGTTATATAGACTGGTGCTTAGGTAAAACCTGTCTTAGTTACACAAGGGGAAAGCCTGTCTTACCCTGGGGGAAAACCTGCCTTACACAAAGGGAAAACCTGTCCTGAACACCCCATAGATAAGACAAAACTGCATGCGTTAAATGATCATTTCATAACTGCAAACCTTTTAATTATGAATTGCTGCATTCTGGGGATGACATCATTTTGCCGTTTATAGATGAAGTTGTGAATTTCAACACTTTCCTATAAGAAAAAAGTGTTAAATGAAAATTTAAGTTTTCATAATTTCTGTCTGAGATCTGATTTGTAAGTAAATAAGCAAGAAAAAGAATCAAACACAAGCTGTCGTCACAGACAGGGATATCTAACTCTTGGGTAACTAGATATCCAGTGCTTTAAAGCTTATAATCTGGTGAGCTCATTATGTAGAGCTTTGGACTGTGAATCGGGTCGACCTGGGTTTGATTCCTGGAAGGTGCAGGTCACTTTCGTTGTGATTGATCATGAAATCTTTCTACGGTCATTTGCACTGTACCTCTGCTCTAGTATGTACAAAAGTTCCAGTTCCTTGCGAAAGTGAAGGCAACTAGTACTAGGGTAAACTTCTTGACAGCCTGCCCTTAGGAATGATTCGGTGGTTAAACTGTGCTCTGGAAAATTCAATGTGGCTTGATTCGGAGTGAAAACTACCAACACCACCACCACTCCAGTGCTTTTCAACTAAAGATTCTAAGCAGCTTTAACAATATAAGAATCTTATTCTACGGAGAAATTAAACATCTAGTACTTGTCCAGATAACAAACAGTTGTTTATTGGTATCCTGCTTGACTCATTGTCATTATTTAAGTTGATTAAGGAAACAATCTATTTCCTTGAAGCTGACCTTTAAACAATATTTTGTTTACTATAATCATTTCATTAACATAAGATAAATATGATTTGAGTAGGAAGCTAAAAAAACCTTTTTTTTTAACAATCTCTTTGAAGTTATTGTTAGACATAAGTAGTAATTGACTAACTCACAGTGATCACATGATATATTTATTATCATGTCCGTGTGTGTAAAAAGAAGTCAATTATCCAAACATGAACAATGACAAATCGTTATCATTTTAATATAATTTTCTGTTTGTATTTTGCACAATGATAAGTCACGGTTATTATGTTGATTTTAACCCTAAAAGGTCAATTTGTCAATGATAATATTCATGTATGCCACGACTACTATTCATTATAAAAGTAAGGTCAGCTGAATAAATATATTTGTACTTTTACTGAGCAACCTAATATAATTTTTTGGCGTACGTGGCCAAGTGGTTATGGTCTTTGACTTTAAACATCTTGCGTCTCTCTGCAATGGGTTGAAATGCCGACAGGGAACTTTGGATTCTTTTATGCGAGGAAGCCTTCCAATTAGTTTATGGAACGTTGGTAGTTCTACTGACAGGTGGGTGTTCGTGCCTGAAATAATGCAAGAAAGGGCACCTAAGATCTTCCTCCACAAGTATTAATAGTAGGAAAGTTGCCCTATGACTTTAACTGTGTTGATGTGACGTAAAACCAAAAAATAAAAAAAATCTTTTTATAATTGGTCGAAATTAGACCTTCCATATGAAAGGGAAGGCAAGTATATTTCAAGATTTTAGTAAGATAATGTGTCCAGCACCTTGTTCAACGTGTATATCCTGAAGGCCGGACCTGATATTTGGTTTAAGAGTTTAGGGACCTGTTAAGTTAGATAAAGTAAGGGACTTCAATATCAAACGTGAAACAATATTACAGTCGACAGTGAGTTTACATACTGTATATACAGACTGGCTTGTCTTTATACTGGTTACATAGTCAAACTTTTATTATCCAAGTTTCTTAAAAATTGAGGCTTAAATTTCATTTGTGCATATGAGATAATGTCCCACAACTGAAACTATCTTTTATGAGAAATTTGCATTCTTTTACTGAGAATCATCATTTATTAATGACATAATCTTAGTTCTCAATGCAAAGAATGTTAATTCAGTTATTTTATAATGCATCAACAATTCTCAAATGTGCATACAGGAGAAGGCACTTACGTTGTTACAAAGTTTTGCTAATAGTTCTTGATGTTGTAATTTTGTGGAGAGTTACTCAAAAGTAGAGAATGTCTAGTATACATGTTTAATTATGTTTTCTCAGGAAAATATCCAAACTAAATGTTGTAGGTAGAATTTTGAAGAAAAAATAAAATTTTGTTTATTTATTTATTATATATTTTTCAGCTTGAGAAAGCAAATGAGCAGTTCATCAAACCGTTGGAACATTTTAGAAAGCAACACATTGTTCAAGCAAAGGTTTGTTTTAGGTTTTATATACAGAATGATTTATTTCACCCTCAGTATTAATAGAACTATGGCAATGTTTTTTTTTGTCCAGTCTTTCTATATGTTTGTTAATGTCTGAAGACATCTTGGATATTGGCAACAGCATAGCAGAACTTTCCATTCTTATGCTGAGAAAAACATTACTGCAAAAGGAATTCATTTAGATTATTGAATTTTGACCTTGACTTCAATTTGACCTTGACCTTTGAGGTCAAGATTTCAAAATTTAATTTTATACTGACACTGTTATTATGTGTTTGTTTGTTTCATTTTACGCCTTTTCCAAACAGTATTTCAGTCATATAGGTGGGTAGTTTCCTAATCATCGTTCCTGGAGAGTTACACCAGTACTAGACTACCTTCCTCTGCCCTTAACTACCAAAGCATCTCCCGGGAATGGAACCCACCCCAGAGAGGTAACTGGATAAGAGGTCATCGACTCTAACCCCTCGACCATGGAGGCGGTTGACGCTGTTATTGTCATATGGTGACATTACATTTTAACTGGTGGCGGAAACAATTTTTTGTATGCCATAATTATGCCCCTATGAACATTACTTAAGGCAAAACAGCAAGTACACAAGTTCTATGATTGAGTTCTTTGCCTTTGAATAACTCACTTCTAAGTTTTGTACCCTTAGGTTGAAAATCGCCAATATTATTTCTTTTTGGGGGGACGGCGGGGGGGAGAGATTGTAAGGCCTTCTATTGTGTCCGCATGTGTCTGAAATAATGCCTGAATTTATAAGATTCATAGGACTTCTATTATGAATAAAAGCTGGTTTTATGTGCTACCCAAAAGTGTGGGGATATAATATCTGATAATTGATTTATTTTTTTTCATGCAGGTGTTGACCTTTAAATACATGTATATTTTTTATAATACATAAAGAAAATAAAAATAATCATCTTCTATAAGATTTCTGTAATTCCTAAGAAATATTTCTAAGAACATACAATGTAATTATATGATTTAGGCTTTGGCAGAGAAAAGAATTTTAAATTGGGAAGATACACAAATATATGTCAATCTGTGAGAGAGATATACTTATAATAACCCCGTTATAACGCTCATGTTTGTGTCCAAGGTGTTTTGAGCGTTATACCTGAGGTTAACGTTGCAACAAGGTAGAATCGTACAATGTATTATGATTCATGTTTCGTTGTATTATATTACAGGAAGGTAAGAAGGCCTTTGACAAGCAGACACAGAAATTCTGTGCATCATTAGACCGTTACTTGAGTTTAAAAACCAAAGTTCCAGATTCACAGTTACAAGAGGTGAGTGTTTTGAAAATTTCTTGAAAGTCCTCCGATTTCCTGATTACGACAGTCTCTTCATATAGCTGTTTTTCTATTGGACTGTTGATGGACATTAGTTTCAGTGTCTATTCTAGGATTTGAAAAACCGGGGGGATTTTTATTGAAAAGTGAGAATTTACTACATTTGTTGATTTTTGTGCCCCCACGTTAGTGGCGGGCATTTAGATTTACCCTTGTCCGTCCGTCCGTCCTTCCGTCCGTCCGTTCACTTTTGTGTCGCATGTAACTCAAAAAGTATTTGACCTAGAGTCATGAAACTTTACAGGAATGTTGATCAGCATGTGTAGTTGTGCACCTGGGTATTTTCATCTGGATATTTTTAGTATTTTCAGAGTAATTGCCCTTGACTTAGTAAAATTTTGCAATTTTCAACTTGTGTCGCATGTAACTCAAAAAGTATTTGACCTAGAGTCATGAAACTTTACAGGAATGTTGATCAGCATGTGTAGTTGTGCACCTGGGTATTTTCGTGTGGATATTTTAAGTATTTTCAGAGTTATTGCCCTTGACTTAGTAAAATTTTGCAATTTTCAACTTGTGTCGCACGTAACTCGAAAAGAATTTTACCTAGAGTCATGAAACTTTACAGGAATGTTGATCAGCATATGTAGTTGTGCATCTGGGTATTTTCATGTGGATATTTTTAGTATTTTCAGAGTTATTGCCCTTGACTTAGTAAAATTTGGCAATTTTCAACATGTGTCGCACGTAACTCAAAAAGTATTTGACCTAGAGTCATGTTACTTTACAGAAATATTGATCAGCATGTGCAGTTGTGCACTAGGTATTTTCGTCTGGATGTATTTAGTATTTTTAGAGTTATTGCCCTTCACTTAGAAAATTTTTGCAATTTTCAACTTGGATTTGACATAGTCATTAAACCTTATGGGCAGGTTGCTCAGCATATTTTAGATTTGCACCTGGGGTTTCGCTTGTGGATTTATCAAATATTTGTAGAGTTATTTCCCTTAACTTAGTAAAAAGATTGACAGAACAGTGACGCAGTGGGGGCACCCGTGTCCTATGGACACATTTCTAGTTTTCTTCTTTCTCTATGTAAAATTTTCCCCCTGTTTCTGAAAAAATAGGGAGGAATTCTCAAAAATATGAGTGAATCCCCCATCCTAGAATAGACACTAGTTTACTCAGGCAATGTTTTCAATTTCTTGCTCAGCCCCCTTTGCTCAATAGAAGGAACGTTGGATTTGTAAGGCGTAGGTAGCAAGTTTGATCCTCGGTTGAGGCTAAATTTCTCTGTGACAATCTATTTCAGATATAAATTGAGTCTTCTTGTCATTTGTTACTCACTCCTAATTCAGAAATCACGCAAGATTGATAGTCCAAGAAAATCGTAATTCATGGTTTAGTTTGTTAGTTATCCAGGAAAGCTGGTTTGGTTGACTAACTACAAAGGTTATGACTAAAATCGTTTTAAAATTGGCGTAAAAACTAAACACTTACACAATTTCATGTTTAATTTACCAGAAATTCAAGTTATTAGTATGGTTGAAACCAATTAATATTTAATGAACGAAAGAAAATTAATTATCTTAATTGGTTTTGATTGTAAGGAAAGGAAATTATTGGCATTAAATATGTATCTGTGCCGGTGAAATAAAATGATACATGATAATGTTTTCTCTTTCTTTTATTATGTATAATGAAATCAAGGATGGAGGTCATCAAAGACATTAGTAAAGCAGCATGCCTTCAGATTCAGGCTAATTTCGTGAATATTTTGAAAATGACTAAATATTATGTATCTAAGTAAAATGTTGTGAAGTGAACAAAGGAGGTAATATACATGATGCAAAATGTCACTTACAGTCCATCTACAGACCAAAAAGAGGTCAAAATAAGCAAAAATACCCTGTAATGAATAAGTCAAACTGTAGAAATATGGTGATAAATACTGCAAAATCAGTCATTATTCACACATAACATTGAATCTTTTTACTTCTCTTACAGTTTTATTTAAGTTTGTAACATCCAAGGTAGGTCAAAATCATCTTTCCTGTTTTGGAATCATATGACCTAAATTGTGTTGGTAAGCCATAAAACCAACCAACCAAACAAACAAACAAACAAAATAGTACATTTTCCTCAAGTTTGATTTTCTTGAAATATTTTAGCTCATCTGCAGGCACACGGCTTTGAAAGATTTTGTCAATTTGTTAAACAATCTGCACTCGTATCTGGGATGAAATTTTGTTATAATCCAATTATACCAACAAGTAAATGATAAATAAGTTCAAATATGATATACAATAATTTTTCATCCTCTCATACCTATTAAGGGGTGAGAAAATGGGAATACCCGGTTGGGGTCTCAAAAAAAGAAAGTATAAAAAAAGTTTTCTAGTATTAACTTCTTAACATATAACAAGAAATTGGTGTTGATGGTGCAAAATATAGGTAACCATATATGCCCTTCTGAATACATGTTATATATTCATTTGTATAAATTATATCTCATATATTTGCCCCACTCATTGAAGCGCAAAGGTTATATAAACATCAATATTGTCAAATGAAAATTATGTATGAAACATAAGCATTATGTTTATATATTTATATTTAAATAAATTTATGTCCACTCATCATTATAGGTAAAGCATCAAATTTGTAATTCATGGTTTGCCAGTTTAAACTTTGACTCTCAGGCGAGGGGAAATTCCTCACTGATTATTGTTATTGGACATTTAGTCTTTTGGCCATAATTATGTCCCTCACTCCTGATTGAGAAATTATTTTGAATAAGTAGTTTGTAACTTGTGGAGAAATTAATAATGACTAGTTAGTTATCCAGAGAGGCCGGTCTGGTGGAGGATCCATTGCTGAGATATGGCCAAAAATTGTGTTAAAGTCAACATGAAATGATGAACAAACAAACAGTTTAAATGATGAAAATTTTTATAATTATTAACACTGTATGTTTTTTTTTCAACAGAATGATGCTCAGTTAGAACTGGAAAGACGAGGGTTTTATGAACAGTCTATGAAATATGTGTTACAGTTACAAGAGGTGCAGGAGAGGAAAAAATTTGAATTTGTTGAAATAGTAAGTAGCGGGGACTTCATAAGAGATATGCATGGGAATGAGGGACTTTACAAGGTGATGTGCCTTTAGTCACTGTGGGTTCAACTCCTGACTGGGCCTTTTGGGCCTCTATGTGTGGAGGATACCAGCTGGTTAAGGGATGTCAGTGGTTCTACCTTGAAATAATGCATATCAGGTCTGCCTCCTGTACAAGTAGAAATTTTTCACTAAAATGCATCTTTCACTTTGTTGAGGCTTGTATTAGTGCACAAATTTGTCCTTAGCAGACATTCATAGAACTAATACTGCTTAATGTCAGGAGATTTAGTAGTAGTAGATGCTGAAATCCCTTCAAGTTTTAATGGACTGCTCCAGATTTGAAAACGAATTAGTCCATTTCACAAAGTCTGCAGGGTAAAGGTTCAAAATATGATTCCTGCCAGACATAAGTGAACATTACAATGAAATTTTGCAAGTTAATTAAGGCAGTAATCATGGCTTTATTTGAAGTATTTGAAAACATAGTAAATAAGTATTGTTTTAAATCTTGCATAAGTCTTGGAATAAGTGTATTTAATACTAAATAGATTTGCCCTGATTTAAAGATAGATCTTTAAATCTGGACAAAACCATTAATCATTTTTTGTGTCGCCTCTACGGAGTAGTGGCGACATATAGGGATCACTTCTCCGTCGTCTGTCTGTCCGTCTGTCCGTCTGTCTGTCTGTCTGTCCATCCGTCCATCACAAAACTTGTCCGGACTACTCCTCATAAACTACTGGTGCAATTTCATCCAAACTTTACAGGAATGATCAGTACCAAGTCTAGTTGTGCATATTGTCAGCATTTTCCGGTTCAATGATTTTTGTCAGAGTTATGGCCCTTTAATATTTTTTCATTTAAAAGTTTGTCCGGACTACTTCTCTTATACCACTAATGCAATTTCAATGAAACTTTACAGGATTGATCTGTAGCTCAAGTCCTTGCGCATATTGCAAGGGTTTTCCGGTTGAATGATTTTTGGCCGAGTTATGGCCCTTTGATAAAAAGGTTTCTTTTTCTGTGTGTTGCCAGATACACAAAAGCTTGTCCGGACTACTTCTCATAAACTACAGGTGCAATTTCATCCAAACTTTACAGGAATGATCAGTACCAAGTCTAGTTGTGCATATTGTCAGCATTTTCCGGTTCAATGATTTTTGTTTGAGTTATGGCCCTTTAATAATTTTTATTTTTAAAGTTTGTCCGGACTACTTCTCTTATACCACTAATGCAATTTCAATGAAACTTAACAGGATTGATCTGTAGCTCAAGTCCTTGCGCATATTGCACGGGTTTTCCGGTTGAATGATTTTTGGCTGAGTTATGGCCCTTTGATAAAAAGGTGTTTTTTTTCTGTGTGTTGCCAGATACGCAAAAGCTTGTCCGGACTACTCCTCATAAACTACTGGTGCAATTTTATCCAAACTTTACAGGAATGATCAGTACCAAGTCTAGTTGTGCACTGTCCGTCTGTCTGTCTGTCCGTCTGTCACAAAATTTGTCCAAACATGAAATTGGCCATCATGAGGCGACACATGTGATTACTGATCGCTCTTGTTGTGTGGATGATTTCAAAATGAGTACAGACTGAAAAGCGATCAGTGCAGACCATGATCCATGGCACAGACCTTATGGTTGGTTTAAACATATTTATTTAAGCTTGATTGTGAAAACAAGCAACTTATATTTATCACTTCCTGGAACCGACTAGTAATAGTGTCATATGAAGAAACATGGTCGTGACCCAATAAGGGGTTCAAACCCATGATCCCTGGGTTGAGAGGCAGACACCTTAACCACTAGGCCACCGCTCCCCTTTAACCTAATGGTTAAAACCAGTTACCATTAGCAGGCATAAAATAGATCTTTTAGAATAACTCACATTATCTGTATAAATCACATTATCTGTATAAAGTCTTGCTCATTTCTGGTGGCATTAAAGATATTTTCTCCTATAATCACTATTACTGATCAAGGAGTAAAGGAATATTTTAACTCTATTTCATTTCAGCTTCTTGTGTTCATGTACAGTTTGCTTACATTTTATCATGAAGGTAAGTGCTAAATTTTTATATCTTTTTCAAAGATTTTCATCAAGAATGTGAAATGACTAATATTATTTTGCAAATACTTGTTACCTACCCATGTTTATGTTTCCTTTGCAACAACAGGTCCCTTTATAATGTTTATATTTTCATCTTGTAAATTTCCTTATAGTTCAATGGGGCATCTGTGACCAAGTGGTTAAGGTTGTTGACTTCAAACCACTTGCCCCTCACTGCTGTGGGTTTGAATCCCAACAGGGACTCTGGATTCTTTCATGTGAGGAAGCTTTCCAGCTAGCTCACAGAATGTTGGTGGTTCTACTCAGGTGCCCGTTCATGCCTGAAATAATGCATTGGAGGGCACTTGAGGTCTTCCTCCACCAATAAAGCTGGAACGTTGCCACATGACCTAAACTTTGTTGGTGTGGCGTAAAACCCAATCAAACAAAGCAAACAAACTAAAGTTCAAATTCTATCCTTGTCTTCCGAGGTAAATATTTCATTATTCATTGCTAAATTGTTAGTGTTTCAACCACAGATAACAGTTTTCTTCACATGGTAAATGTTCACTGCCAAGTTAATATTATGTTTCTTTGCTCATGTTTTTGTTTCCCTCCTATGGTTTTTGATTCCCTCCTATGGTTTAATGTTTACATTGTCTTATTTCAGGTCATGAAACAGCTGCTGATAGTAAACCATATTTAGCCACCCTTCAACATACATTACAAAAGGTAAGTACACTACTGGACATGTGGTTTTGTCACAAAGAACATTTTCATGGGTACTTAAATTTGAGCACTGTTAATTTTTCCAAAAGGTAAAATGTAAATAATGTGATGCAAAATAATCTTACAGCAGACGAAATATAATTTCCTTGGAACTTAGATTCGTGACTTGACCTATCAACGAAAACCATGAAAATTAGTGCCCCATGAATAATGATGTTTTTGCAGAATTACATTAATTTTCTTTAGACAAAAAATAAATAAATAAATAAATATCCAGGTTTTAGATCAAATCAATAGTATAGCTTATAAAAAGTACTTACACAAAATAAAGTGAAAAAAAACCCCTTCTACTTGAGGTTTATAGACAGGGGAGGCTTCTCATACAGTTGCTCAACTCATCAAAATTGATTTGATGGTACATATAGAAGCTGGTTTTGTCCTACATTCTTCTCCTCCTTCTGTAACACTTCATTTCAGTTTATCATACACCTTATTCTGCTATCCTGGCATGGTTTCTGGTTGGTTGATTGGTTGGTCAAGATCACTTATACCCAACTTAATAAAAGACAGGCCTTCTTTTTCTCTTAGAAAAGGAATGCTTTTAGCTTGGACAATACAATATCTAAAGCATCCAGCACTGAGCAGTGAGCAGTGTCCTTGTTTTCAAATTATACCATATTCTGACAATTTCTAATCCAAATCAAATACAATGAATTGATTTATGATCTGATTTAACCTGAAATATTGACACAATATTATTCACCCATAATATTGTTATTATAGAACTGGTATAATTGAGTGATAATATTATGTCACTGTGAAAGAAGCAGACCTCTTCTTCAAAAAGCCCTCATTTTGTCACTGTAAAAGACCTATATTTGCCAAATCCAGTCTCTCCTTCAAAAGCTCTAAAATTGCTTGAAACATGAGATTAGTCTTAAGACGATAATGTGACCACTTTTATACCATGCATGTTGGATACACTTACAGAGTTTAATTTCCTCTCAAAACTTATTGATTTTGTAATGTACACCTTTTATTCCTCATGAATATTTCATAAAGCACATAAAGATGTCACTAATTGGTGTAATATTTATAAGATTTTCTGTGTTTGTACAGAGAGTTCTTGTCATGCATTCGGTAAAGATTTTTTATGACCTGCTTCAAGGAGCTATGATGTGAATAATACAGTTTTCACTTGGCATAGAGAGCTTAACTTATACGTTGGTAACAATGTCAAACTATAACAATCAGTGGCCAGTTTGTTAAGGTTGTTGACCCCAAATCACATGCATTTTACTGCTATGGGTTCGAATCCCATTAAGGACTTTGGACTCTTCCATATAAGGAAGCTAGCCAGCTAGCTTACAGAAAATTGGTGCTCTCTTACAACTGAAATAGTGCACAAAAAATACCTGAAGTATTGCTCTATCATTAAATCCTGAAAGTTTCCACATGGCCTTTGCATTGTTGCTGTGTCTTTAACCCAACAGCATTGATTCTGAAAATGTTTAAGTAGGCAGTCCATTTGGCAAGGCTCTTGGCACAGTTTGTTGTCACCTTTACATTGAATATAAACTTAAATTTCATAACAAAATTTTGTATGATTATTGTTTTATAGACACGGAACAATTTTGAGACAACAAGGGAACAGGCAGAGAGTCTGATGTTGAAAATGTTGGATTGCCGTGGCAACGTAAGTATCCAGTCAGATGTCCAGAATTTGTTGCAGGCTCAACTTCCTATTAAATCTTCTCAAGTTGGGAATAATTTTCCTAGGGAGGGGTAAACTTTTAAAATGTTACGCTTCAGATGATTTGAATTTAAAAGTTATTTTTATTTTGTGGTGATTTATTTTTTTGTTATATATTCAATGCCAGTGCACAGGTGTTAAAATTCTGTTTTATGGATAACATTTTTTTCAAAAACTTGTGCCTTTTACAGGTTAAAACTGTTGTGTAACAAAAGGTTTATATGTATCAGATATAAAAAATCAAAAGCGGTTTTCGTACACCATCTAACCAAAGTCATATGTGCCATGAAACCTGGGCTAAAGAATTGAAACTGTAAGAAATTAATCTCATATTTGAGAAGTTATATGGATGAGTTGAGCTTGCATTATCTACTGGCCTAGCATTACATATGTCTATCTGAAATATATATCCAAGAAGGAATTGAGTCATTTCAGTTAAAAAGGTTAGTTTATGCTAGTCCTGGATTGACGTGTAATTAAGATGTAACCTCCATATAAAATTGCTAGTATACTGCTTTGCTGTTTATATGGGTAGAATCATATAATTTTCATGGGTAGAATTATATAATTTTATATGTATTTAAAATCATGTAAAATTGTTGAAATTAGCTTTGTGTCTTTAGAACAATATATGGGAGATACTTTCAAATTTGGTTGTGTCTGAAAAACCATATAGAGAAGGTGTAAAATTTGGCCATATATTTGGAATTACACAAGGAAAATGTCAAATTTGGCCATATATTTTGAATTGAGCAGGAAAAATGTCAAATTTGGCCTTACATTTAGAATTCTTTTTGATAATTTCTATAGAATAACATAATGACAATGAATATAATTTAGGTTTCGGGCATAAAATAAAGTGGTTTGGGGAAGACTAGTGTCTAAGCCCTCTTTTTAACAAACTTCTTTGCAATGTACTTGACCTTCTTAAAAATGGTCTGTTGATTTTGTCTGAGATTTCAATGTCAAAATATAATAGTTATGATTAAATTCAGCTTCAACTGCTATATGTGTGTTTTGGCTGTACATGTAAAATGGAACGCGATAGCTTGATCCTGTATGACTAATGTTAGTCCACAAATTCACCATCACTCGTAGAAAGTTAAACATTGCAATGTACACGGAACATTCTTTTATTGAAAATATTTGTTCAGTCACTTGAGTTAGCTACGGAATGGGTTTTTATTTTGGCTGAGTCATCAAATTTCGATATCACAACATGCAGTGATGGCATTATTGGAAAATTGTTGTTTTTTTTGGCTGCATTCTTAGTGTATTTTGGGTGTCTTTAGTGGTAGAGCAAATTGTTAACAATGTTTGAAAAGTTAAAATTGATATTTTGAAGCCACAGTGGTCACATTTGCATGAATATTTACTGTGTTTTCCTTTTATTTTCTTTGTTTTTATTATTTTATTTCATTATTGTTTTTTTGGCTGTTGAATTCAAATTCTTGATAGCATAGAATAACATATTTATTTTTCACTGTTTTTCTGTAATGACCAATTTTGTTTAGGATAAACTGCCCATTGTTATTAATTAAAGAGGAACAATATCAAAATAACAAATTATGGCATTGATTGTAACAGTAAAGAGAGGGGCTAGACAGTTTAGTAAAGGAAAATTAGGCTCATCTTGCTCTGTACAGATGTGGATGAAGAGTCACATTTTGACTGCCAGCATCTAGAAATATTTAATATAACATAATATATAGGCCGGATAATTTTTGTGTAGAAATTCAGGTCAATTTTTATAAAATGAAAAATGAGACAAAAAATTATAATTATCCCTCCCAAACTGAGCCTTACTTTAGATGCCACTTGCCCCTCACTTTTGTATGTTCAAATCCAGCAAGGGCGTTTGGATTCTTGTTTGTAAGGAAAAATAAGAAAAAGGCCTTTGGTTTTAATTGGTGCCTGGTTTGGCCTGAAATAATGTAATGGATGAGTGCATGGCGTCTCTCAACCATGGTAGTCCTGAAAATTGCCTTATGTCACTTCAACAGCTTGTTAAGTAAATTGAAATCTTTTAGGGTATCAGCTTTCCAGTAATATTTTAAAATCCCCAACCAACCTCTTAGGATTTAAAAGTTAAGGCCCTATCCATCTACTTGTAGTTTGAATTGTGCTTAAACAATCCAGTTTGTTCATATTTGAAAAAATTTAATCCCATATAGTATTCTTAAACCTTGGAAAACTTGGATTTACCCCAAGCCTGCTTTTGGCAACTATTGGACCTCTACCCGTGTAACCAGTGCAGACCAAGAGCTGCTGGCACATACATACTGTCTTATCATGGTCTATTCAGTCAGTATATATTTGGAAATTTTCCCTAAAAAATGATAAATGGTTTTGTCCACATTTAAAGATGGACAAGTCCATTAAAGATGTTTAGTGGGGTAAGGGTTAAAATCTTTACATGTCATTGGTTTCTTTATTTTATTCCAGTTATTTCCTTTTTTTTTGCTTTCAACATTAATTTTAATAGCTTTTAATTTTCTGTATTTTTCATAAAATGTTTTTTGTTTTTTTTACACTAATATTTTGGTTGTTAGGATATTTTTCTATTTATTTTAGTGTTTTAGATAGAAATAGTCAAGCAAACAACTTGTTTGATTTAGTATTGAAAAAGAAGTTGTGTATGTGGGGGGGGGGATGAAGGGACTGGATTTTTTTCTCAATAATTCAATAACTTTTTTTTAAAGGTATGCAATCTTTAAGCATAGAATAAACTGTCGGCAGCTAACAATTCAGTAGTTTTGAATCTTTGTTGTGAGAAAGAAAAACTTTATAATGCCTGTTGTTTAAATTCTAGTTATGAGAAGTTTTGTATTACCTATTAGGCCACTGCTTTGAAAGCACACAGCTTTGTCATGAGGAAAGGCATAATTAATATCACTATTGCTTTAGCCATAGTTATAAGGAGTGATATATGAGTTAGATGCAACTGCCCTGAAAGCACACAGCTTTGTTATGAGGAAAGGCATAATTAATATCCCCATTGGTTAAGTTGTAGTTATGAGAAATGGTATATGTGCTATGAGGCCACTGCTTTGGAAGCACACAGCTTTATGAGAAGAGGCATAATTAATATCCCAATTGCTTAAGTTATAGTTATGAGGAGTGCTGTATGAGCTATAAGGATACTTACACTTACAGCAAACACAGCTTTGTCATGAGAAAAGGCATAATATTCATATTGCTTTAGTTATAGTTATGAGGAGTAGTTTATGAGCTATGAGGTCACTACACTTAAGGCAAACACAGCTTTGTTATGAGGAGTCTCCTCATGAGAGCCACCTTAGATCACATGCACAGTTGCTGCTTGATTAAAGCCTGATAAAATTACCTTTTGCGGCTTGAAAAAAAGAACAAAACCACTCATGAGGAGCAACAATGCAGATTGAACGGCCTATAGCTTCTATAAATAGATTATCGAGGAGCAGCTAAAATTCAGCTTAGCCAGTAGCTTTATATTATGCTCATCCGAGGGTGGGCAATTAGTAACATGAATTTAAGCTTACCTTTTGTGCACTGTTTATGAAATAAGTAGGAATACTTAGGTATCAGTTCTTGATCTAAAAAGTCCTAATTGTGACATTTAGAAGGGAACAAAAAAACAAAAACAAATAAAAACAGCAACAACAGTTATTGTATTTTTACCAAAATTTTGTTCTGTGTTGAACCTTAAGTTATAATTGATAGGTAGATATATTTGTCACTGATTGAATATTGACTCAAGGCATATTTAGAGACATTTAGTTGGCCCAGGCTTTGGGTAAAAAGTAGAACATGGTATTAAAGGCACATAATTATTGTTGTCAAATGTCACCAATATACTGTTGACATTATGTAGTTATTCAATTTGAGTGTTATGAAGTAATAAATTATAAAACAATACATAAATATTCATATTCAAATAAGACATAAAAAATTATCTAAATAAATGAAATTAAGATAGCCTTATGAACTTATATACTATAAGTTATAAAGATTTTTGATAGGTTATATGGCCCTATATAAACGGTTGTTTGGAAATATAACCCCAACCGCTAGGTGAGTGTTATATCACAAACAGATGTTTATATACGGTAATATAACCTGTATGGAATATTTATAACAAATTTATAATACAGCAAACTTCCTTTTTTTTTTTGAAAAAAAAAAGAGATTTCTTAGAAAATTGACAGCAGCTGTGTATATAAAACTATATAAATGTCACGATTATCCAATGAAAAATGACGTTACATATAAACGTGCAGTATTATAAAAGATCAGTATATAGTGCAGATAGTGAATTTATCTGTAGAAACCAGACATATGAAATGACTGGATTCAGGCATATGAAAAAATCAGAGACTAGAAATTTAAGCCATATTAATCAGACGTATATAACAAAAAATCAATGATTGAAATATATAAATAAAACTGTATTATTTTACTATCATCATTACCAGCTTATATCGAGCTCATACCAGAATTATGCATGGCCAGATTTAATCAACCAGACTGCAGAGAAGGTATCAACTAATGCTTTGCTTGATTTATTTTTTGTTAATTTCAACATTTTTGGGTGTGTTTGATTGGAACAACATTGAATTGGACTTGCTACTGTAGTTGCAATTACGTTTTTTGTTATAAAATAATTGCATAGAAAATGTATGAAATTTAATATTAGCTGAAAAGTACAGTTTTAGAATGGGTTTACAGTGATAAGGGGCGAAGAGTAATTTGTTTATTTTCTGCTGATAAACTTTGTTTTATAAATAATGTGTAAAAGGTAGGCATAATACTTGAAATTAACAGCATTGATGATCTGATAATGTTTTGGAAGGAATCGATAGGAAAAATTTAGATTGTAGATAAGATTGGGTGTTTAAACAAGCTCAGTGGTCTTTCATTTTCATTCATTTTTTTTTTACGAAATGTAAAGGAAAAGTAAAAACAGAAAGATAGGTTTTCAAGCAAAGTAAGGCAACAGTAAGAAAATTCAGTGTTGTTACATGGTTTTGGTTAGCCTAATATTAGTTGTAGCATGGTTTTAGAGAGATTTTAGATAAACTCATTTCATAATGCATGGGTCACTGAAATTTGCAAGCAGTCCTTACAGCATGCCAGGGTAATTTGTATATTTTTGTTGGCATGTGAATGCTAAAAGTTGTCTTGGTATAGCATCATGGTTTCTTGTATTAGTATGATACACCTACCCCTTATGTATGAATTGCATGCTAAAACTTGACTGTGGGCACGTCACTTAATATATGAAACATCAAAACAGATTTTAATTTTGATTGTATTATGGAAGAATAATGCACAGTTAGAGTTCAAATGCACAGGAATATAATCACGAAGGCTGATAGCCCAGAATGATTAATTACAAAGCATTTGAACGATAAACTGTGCATTATTGTTCAATAATGCAATAAAAATTGGTTCAATAATGCAATAAAAATTAATATCTTTTTCCATTCTTACAGAAATTGATAAAATTATTGTGATCTACATTGAGCGTTGTTTTGGTTTATTGATGTCATATATGACAATTCATATTATGTGTGAGCATTCCTTTTTTATACTGTGCATATATCTTGTAATAATGTTCTTGATTTCCTTACCTGTTTTATAGGGGAATAGTATGAAATGTGTTAGAAATATAGATAATTGCCATTATTCTGTTAGGAGGTTTAGAAATTAACATTATTCAGTTCTGAAGCCATCATTGGAACCCATGGTACACATTCCGTATATACTACGGTAAATAGCCCGGGTTACCGAGGATGTTTTGAAGCAGATTTACTTAAAACTAAAAGAGAGTAATTGGGGGAATGAGGAATTGATAACAGTTGTTCAGGGACAAATTCAGCAACAATTAAAGTCAGTATTATCGAAACAGATAATAGCAATAGTAATTCACTGAGGTGATAGCAGATTAAAAATAGCAATAGTAAGTGTTGACGCTGAAGTTCTGAAAAATTTATTAATAGCAATTTTAATCACTGAGGTTATGAAATTTTATAATAGCAATAGAAGTCACGGAGGTGATGAAAGATTGATAAATAGCAATAGTTGTTGGTGATAAAAGATTTATAAATAGCAATAGAAGTCTGAGTGATAAGGTTATGACAGTTAAATTAATAGCAATAGTAACATTATTAAGGTGATAAATATTTTTGTATAACAATTGTTTACGGTCACGAAGGGATTATTATGAACAATTTTTGTAGTTGTTGATCATAAAAGCAATAGAAGTCTCAGGGGTAATGAAAATTTATAATAGCAAAATTTTCACCAATGTGATCAAATATTTATTAATATCAATAGGTGTTGGTGATAATAGATTTATTAATAGCAATAGAAGTAATAGAATAGATGAAAATTTATGATAGCAATAGTGACATCACTAATGTAATAAAGATATAATAGCAATAGTTGTCTTGCAGATAAGATATTGATCAATAGCAAAAGTTTTCACTTAGGTGATAAGAAATTTGAAATGACGTTTATGATGAAAAGGGGCAGGGGAGTGTGTGTGGGGGGGGGGGGAGGGGTCAAATGATATCTGTGTCAGACACAGGGCTCAATAATGGTTTAAGTATTTGCCCCTAACTAATGCAATGGTCCTGACCATGTTACCTGGTATAATACTTGTGCTGGAGAAACAGAGAGTGGCTTTTGTTAGAGTTATGAATAAGTTATTGAATATGTTCAGGACTTTTATCACTGTTAACCAGAGTTGTATACTGATTATTTTGTGAGCTTTAAATACAGCCTAGTGTGTAATATAGAAGCTAGTTTTCACACGATTTCCATATTTATAAAATTTCAGGCATTTGATACAATTGAAATATTGGTAAAGGTTTTCCAACCATTTATTTATTAGATTTATTGCAGTAAAGTTCACTTTTTGAATGACATTAATTAAGTGGCATAAAAAGTATGACTTACTATTGTGATAATATTTTCTACCTGATTAAAGCCTCTGCAAGTTTATTGTCTACAGTTAAACCACTACTGCTTGTCTGCTACAGTCAAACCTGTTTTGCTAACTTATACAGTAAAACCTGTACTGTTTATCATCTTCAGTCAAACTGCTTCAGCCTTTTTTATACAGTCAAACCTTCACTGTCTATCCTGTACAGTTTAACCTCAACTCTATCATGTACAGTTGAACCTCAACTAATTATCATGTATAGTTGAACCTCAACTGTCTATCCTTTACAGTCAAACTTCAACTGACAATCACCTGCAGTCGAACCTGTACTGTCTATCCACTACAGTCAGACCTCTACTTTCTATCCTCTGCCTTCAAAGTAACAGAAGAATCTTGACTGCCAGATCTCCTTGATGTCAAATTTTTAGTATAAAATAGCTTTACTATCAAATCTCTATTCTGTAAGACTTCTGTCAAACTTATACTAGTCTTCCAATTAGCAAACCTTTCAATAGTTAAACATCTACTGTCCAACTTTTACTGTCAACAATCTTATGCAATTCTTTTACAGTTAAACCCTTTCTTTAAAACACAGTCATACACTTAAACCTGTCCTGTTAGACTGATATGGTCTCTTCTTTCAAACATCTACAGTCAAACCTCTACTGTCTATCCTCTACAGTCAAAAAGCTATAGTTAAACCTCTATAGCAGTCATACCCTTTCATTCAATATTGCACAGCCAGATCTTTATGTAAATTTAACTTCTACAGTAAAACCTGTAAATTGAGAGTACCATTGAGTGATCTTTTAAAAAGCAATTAATTTCTCACTACAAGCTATTATTTTCTGTGTTGAAAATGGTTGGAAAACCTCAAGGTGGTGGGCTAATCAATATGGTGTGTCTTGATTGATAGATGATTGTTATTTCTATATTTAGCCACAATCTTTGAGCTTAACATCAATGGTGGTAAGGCATTTGTGAACTATGTATATAAAATCATCAAATATCATCTGACAAAATAAAAATGCTTTAATTTGTTTTTTTTTAACACAAAGGAAAAAAAAGATAAATTATAGAATAATTATCATATTCAACTTTCAACTTTCTGTGTACAGATGGTCATGAATCAAAATTTGAATAGGTGCACCTCTTTAGAAGGAGAACTTAAAATAGGATTTCGGGGCATTTAATATGGGATAATACAAACGACTGCATTTTTTGTCATATGATGTTTGGGGTATACATAGTTCTGTTTAGTTTAAGATGTTGTAAATTGTTCGTTTTTTTAAATCAAGTGTATCAGTCAAAACATTGTGCACATATATTTATATATACATATATATTGTCCACATACAAATGTATATTTATTTTATGTTCTTTAGTGTAAAAAAATGTCAACATCCACATCCACACATTCCTACACAATTATTATAAGATAGTCAGGTTTTGTATTCTATTTATTGTAAGTTGATCGTCTTAGTTTTTTCATGTACGTGATTTTAACTTGAAATTTCCTTGATATCGCACAACCTATTAATTTGTATTGCACTGTAGATTTATTGCAGTTATTATAACTTGAAAGTATTTAATTAATCATCTTTTTGTTATTATATTAAACTTAAAAGACATTATAAATTATGCTTTGCAAATTAAATTGTATTATTAGTTATATCCCAAACTATGATTTTATCGCTGAATAAAATCACTGTTTGTAGTTAAAATTTGTGGAAATATATCATGAGGGTGTAGCCCAAGTGATATCATGATTCGCATCCAAACGACAAACAGTGATGTTATCAAGCGACAAAATCACCGATTTAGATATATAATTTCTATTCTAACACGACATCAACAAATAAATGCTGTCGTAACTGATATTATTAGCTAAATTGTGCCTCAGATTTGGTTTTGTTCTTATAATATTTCCAGCAGTTCGCATTTTTTGGTGGTTACGTCACATGCATAATGATTACGTCACATGTCTAAATATACAACAGTGATTTTATTGCATAATAACACACACTTTTGGTTCTTCTATGTTCAGTAGGGAAAAATGCGGGTCGTGTTAGAATCTTTAACATAGCAATTGATTTCAGTGATTTTTTTTCCAATTTTCAAAACAACCTGTGGCTTTCTGAAGGAGAAAATATAGCACGATAAATCAGAAAAGGGGGAAACCTGAAATCAAATTCCAACAACTGAAAATGGAATTTACTCACACATTTTATGAAAAAAATTAATTTCAATTCAATTTAACATGCATGGTATATAGCAGAGGCTATCTATAGGGACAGATTTCTGTCTTCTAGCTGATGCTGTTAAGTCATGGTTCTGGTAAGGAAGAGCACAAGGCATTTTAAGGGAAAATATATGCATTTTTAGGGGAAAATTTACCTATTTTGGGCTAGGGGAAACAGCCTTTCTTCAGCTGTAAAATACAGTGGAAAAAATCACTGGATTTTAACAGTATGTGGAACGCAGATCGTAAAAAAATCATAAAATACAGGTCATCAGACCACTAATTTTCATTTTTTTTTTCAACTTTATTCCAGCTTCTTATTTATAGTATAGTGTCTTAGTCTTAGTCATACTGTTTTATTTAATATGCTTAATTGTAGTTGATAAAGGTCATTGTAAAGTGTTGTTGATTGTCTGATTTATTTCATATCTAAAACTTTGACTTTGCATAAAACTAGACATATAGATCATATAGGAACAATTTTATATGCCTATATGGAATAAATATTTTAATAGGAAAATTATGCTAAAGTGGCAGCAGTTACGTGCCTTAAAAAGCTAAATTATGTTTTCATGATTGACATTTAAATCTTATGGATTTGTATATTACACTGCAACATGTCAAAATCCAATCCTTTTTAATCTATAATGACTTTTTGTTGTTGATATTTTAAGGTTTTTAATAATCAGGCCTGAGAACTTCTCTAGGGAAACTGATGCCAGTAGTCGGTCATGAAAATACCCCTTGAAATGAAGAAGTTTGATATTCATAAATTAATGTTATACTCGTCTGTTCAGAATATTTCGAACATCAAGTTCACAGTATTGCCTGAAAAATTCCAGTCAATATTTTTTCAATTCTTACTCAGATCATCTAAAAGACTTTAAACTTACTTTTGTGATCAACTTTTCTATATTCTTTAAGGAATGCACCTTAATTTTCTGTTCCTGATGTAACAGTTTTCTTTGTTTTTTTATCGGGTTGTTTAATTAAGCAAGTTTTAGTTTTGTAAATTATCATGGTATTTATTCTCTTGTTTGAAAGTCAGGCTGTTTTAAATAAATTACACTGTTAGGAAATGGGATAAAGTAATTATCCTTTTATGTAAATTGTTTAATTAGTATATTTTATGGAGTGAAAGAACATAATTGTTAGTGTTAATTTAAATCCATATATTACAGTTAGAGGAAGTTATTATAAATTGGAAAATTTAAATGCTAAATAATTAAAATATTTGATAACGATTTAAATTGTTAATGTTAATTCATATATTTTATTAAAGGGAGGTAACTAAAGGGATGCAATTGTTACATTTATGTAGATTCCTGTAAATGTGAAGTTTTATAAGCATTTTAATAATATAAAACTATGGAAGAAGAAGGTTGTCATATTACACTATTTTTAAGCATTCTCTTTATTATATAATGCCATTTTTCATAATGATGGTGTAAAAAATAAAATTTCTGTAGCACATGTTAATCACAATCAGGATTTTGTTGGTTATTTTTCAGAGACCGATGGACCAAACTGGGTCATTACGTGGTACGTGGACTAGACAAGGCTATCTCTACCTCATGGAGAAAAGTAGGTCATCTTTGTGATTTTTGATAAGAATTAGAAATTGGTGTTTTACTATTTAATTCATTTTAAAATTCATTTTAAATGACATTCTTATGAAAACCTACAATTTAATCAATCATATATTGAAAGAATAAATTATTATAATATACGTTTCTTTTAGATTATGATATAACGTAAATAATATCCACCTTTAAAATGTTAGAAAAAATGAATTTTGAAATACGTTTATTTATGATTGGACATGATTTAATAGGACAAGTAACTGGTGATAAGCATTTTTGTCCAATATGGTGCAATAAAAATTGCACCACCATTTTGCTTGACATGAAATTTTAACAGTTAATAATAATTTTAATGATCATAACATTTTGTCAATTGAACCCCAACTTTAAAGACCGCTTATCAAGCCATTATATTATGTGATTGGGCATCAACCATGTAAAATAGTTGTTTGCCTACAAAAACCATTTGATTAGTTTATTAATTTGTTTCAATCTGTCTGTTTCAGAGGCATTGGCGAATTCCTGGACAAAGTACTGGTGCTGTTACAATAAAGACACAAAAAAATTCTACATGTTGCCTTTTAATCAAGCTACTGGCAAAATGGTGAGTACTATTACAGCTTGTCTATAGTACTGCTTTTAATGACCTGTACATTATACTTTTTTAGTCCCCTACCGGTTTAACCGGAGGGGACTTTAGGTTTACCCTCCGTCCGTCTGTCCGTCTGTCTGTCCGTCCGTCTGTCTGTCTGTCAGTCCGTCAGTCTGTCCGTCCACAAAACTGGATCCCGCGATAACGCAAAAAGTACTGAAAATATTTTTATGAAACTTGATATATCGATAGATGGCAGTATGGAGATTATGCACGTCTTTTTTTTTCTTCCTATGTTGAAAATTCTGGTTGCTATGGCAACAAATAGTCTGAAAATATGACAAATTTAACACATAAACTGGATCCAGTGATAACTCAAAAAGTACTGAAAATATTTTTATGAAACTTGAAATATGGGTAGATGGCAGTCTGGAGATTATGCACATCTTTTTCTTTTCTTCCTATGTTGAAAATTCTGGTTGCTATGGCAACAAATAGCCTGAATATCAAGATTTCTGATTTAAATTTTTCACCTTTTTCACTATATGTTCTTTATTTCTTAAGGTATTTACTTCAAACTTTAAATATAAGTTTCTGGTCATCAACCACATCATATGTGACAAGGTTTATAACTCTAGCACAAAAAATATCAGTATTACCTCCCTTGAACTTAGATTTTTTAGGGGAAAAAATGTTGTCTTTTTTAGATAACTTCTTCATTTCCTAATGTATCTACTTCAAACTTCATATATATGTTTCTTATTATCACTCGACATTTTTGAGAAGGTTAAATACTCTAGCAAGACTATTTCCAGAATTATGTCCCCCTTGAACTTAGATTTTTTTCGAGAAACTGGTATTTTCACTCCAACTTCTTCATTCCTTATAGGATTTACTTTAAAATCCCACATCGTAATAATATGACAAGGTTGTATAAACATAATTTCCTTACTAAGCATGGAAACTTAACACATTACTGTGATATAGACAAACTTATTTTATTATGTTTTGTGGTCGATATTTTCAAATACAGACTTCATCCTCAAATTCATTATAAATGGCAATACACAGGAGTGTATGACAATTAAAGAACTTTTTGAGGGACCGGTAGGGGACTACTGTATTGCCCGCAATACTATCAAATGCTTGTTCATCAAAATTTTACCCCCCCCCCCCTTTTCTCCAACAAATTGGTTTGAATACTTGTTGGTCAACATGGGAGACAGCTATGTCAGACATTCTATCTTGGTGGTTCTACCTTAAATTATTCAAGGAAGGAACATGTATTTCCTTATCAAGTAAAACAGAAAAGTGGCTACATGTCATTAGACTTAAAAAGCCAACCAAATTAATGAATAGATTATGTTACAAATGTCTGAAAAATGACACATTTTACTTAATGTCAACACATTAAAAGTCTTCAAAATAATACAATTTTAATTAAGAATTTGAAAAGAAAAATTATATTATTATACAGTACAGTAAATATATGATAACAGTTTTGACGTTGCTATATTTATTTTCAGATGCCAAACGGGGAGACTGTTACCTTGCAGTCTTGTACAAGGAGGGCGTCGGACTCTATAGATAGAAGATTCTGTATAGATCTTTCTGTGATGGAAAAGTAAGTCTTATATTGATAATGGTTTTAAAATTGGAGCAACATGATTGTCATTAATATTGATAATAGTTTTAATAATTAGAGCAACATGATTGTCATTAATATTGATAATAGTTTTAATAATTGGAGCAACATGATTGTCATTAATATTGATAATAGTTTTAATAATTGGAGCAACATGATTGTCATTAATATTGATAATAGTTTTAATAATTGGAGCAACATGATTGTCATTAATATTGATAATGGTTTTAATAATTGGAGCAACATGATTGTCATTAATATTGATAATAGTTTTAATAATTGGAGCAACATGATTGTCATTAATATTGATAATAGTTTTAATAATTGGAGCAACATGATTGTCATTAATATTGATAATGGTTTTAATAATTGGAGCAACATGATTGTCATTAATATTGATAATAGTTTTAATAATTGGAGCAACATGATTGTCATTAATATTGATAATGGTTTTAATAATTAGAGCAACATGATTGTCATTAATATTGATAATGGTTTTAATAATTGGAGCAACATGATTGTCATTAATATTGATAATGGTTTTAATAATTGGAGCAACATGGTTGTTATTAAGAGGCGGCCGTGGACCAAAATGACCGTCTGAGATCATCAGATGTATTTTTGGCCACTAAAAATTTACAAAACACTCATTGTTGTATATGATAAAACCAGATATGACAGCTTCAAATTCAAAAAGGACCATTTTAAATTCGAGAAATTGTTATATAGCAAGCTGAAAGTATAAAGTGAACTATTAGCAAAATTTTTCATGAAACTCGTCCAAGAAATTCTATATGTGCAATAGAAAAAGTACGAAATTGTTGTATTACATGGAAAACAAGCAATGTGATATAAACAGTATAATTATATTAGACAGAAAATATGGAAATGTTTTGTTATATAATATTTTACAGAACTAGTGTTCTAACATTCCAAGCATTATCGGAGGAAGATAGAAAGCTATGGATGGATGTGATGGATGGTAAAGAACCAGTAAGTTATGAATGTTATTTCAGGGATTCTTGGGAGATTCTTGATTTAACAAGGTCCTCAGTAAGTCATACTTTGGTTAAGTTTTTCTGTGCAAGTTGATATCACCAATACTTCTGAAGGGAATTGGTTGAAACTTCACAGACTTGTTCTCTGTGATGATCTAACATGATGGGCACAGGCTCCATAACTCTTGAGTTAACTTTTTAAATACTTAGTATTGTCCCTTTTATTACTTTTGTGCATTGAGAATAGTCAGGCGCACTGTCTTGCTGACAGCTCTTGTTTGAATATTTAAACATGATTCACCATCCCTTATAGTAATTGTTGATTAACACTTTTGACTCTAAAAAAGATTAATTAATGAATATTCATATTTCATGCAACAAAAACACTGATTGGGAATTGCTATTTTAAGAACTATTTTTTGTGTATTATTTCAGATATACAACAAGCCTCATAGTACTACAGAAGATTGTAAGTATATTCTAGTATTTTTTCTACAGTTTCTTGTTACACCCCTAGATACAAAGTTTAGGGGGGGTTATATAGGAGTCTGTTGGTCTGTCGGTCAACTTCTTGGTTTCCTAACGATAACTAGACTTAGGAATAAGTTATATTAATCAAACTTGTTATATAATTTCCTTATGTCCCTGGGGTTAAGCTCACTATTACTAAAAATAAAAAAATGGTTTCTGGACAATAACTAGAGTTAGGAATGCAATATTTTAATCAAACCTGGTATTTAGCAAGCTTATTTGAAGACCCCAGTTGATATTGCTTTTTGACCCCCTGGGTCAAGGTCACTGTTGCTAAAAATAGAAAAATGTTTTCCGGACAATAACTAGAGTAAGGAATGAGATATTGCATATAATTTTATATAGTCATGATATGTAAATCAAGTGAAGAAACACAGTTCATGCAAGGGTAAAAAAAATTCTTGTACAAAAGATAACCTTGTTATAGATGGAATGCACAATTGTAATTTTAACACTTATTGAATAACTGAACTCTTAAGATGCATTATGTCTATTCTATGAACAGAGTATATAGGTATGTAGAGAAATGATCTAAGTGCAAACTGTTTGAATATTTACCGAAGTCTGCCCATACATGATAATTATAACCCTAGTTGTGTTTTATGGGGTGGTTGTTTTGAGAGTAAAGTGTTTAAATAGAAATTAAGATCAAATGTTTATTGGAGTATTTTAATATTTTTTCTTTTGGGGCAGTGAGGGGTAGGGACTAGGCATACATAATTATAATAATTTGGCTTTCATTTATGATTCTGAGATACATGTATGTTTGTTCAATGGAAGAATTATTTCTGTTATTTTATATTTCAGCATCATTGGATGAAGTAGGATTTAACTTTATCAAAAGATGTTTGTGTGCAATAGAAAATAGAGGTAAGTTTTAGATCTTCCCTTTATGAATATGACTTAATTTATGCTAGTGTTATAAGTCTAACAAGAGAAATACTGTAAGCGCTGGTGATTTTAAGAAATAGGTTTTAAGCGATATTAACCCCACTGAATTCTGGTAAATGGACTTGACCTGCTTGGAATTTGGAACTGTCTATCGATTAAAATTTATGGATTTATTAGCCTTCTATATCATGTTAAAAGAAGTTATTGCCATAAATATTGTTAAGTTTGCCACTGGCTCACTTATATACATTAATGTTTATATGAAAGGAAAACAAAATTATAAGGTTCTGCATATATTGTAATTACTACTCATGCTAATGCTAGGCTTCTAATGTTGTTATGCCTAATACATACAGTTAAACTTGAACTTGCTTTAACCAAAAGATAAGCTTTTTTTAACACTGGCGCCATGCCAAAATGCAGGCTGACCAGGCATTATACTTTTGGCAGCTCAATTTTGTGAAATCCATTAAACTTCAAATGGACTGTTCCAAATTAAAAGCAGGAATAACCAAAACATAAATTAAGGTTTAAAATGGAAGATATTATACGTATATATTTGACCGCCTCCGTGGTCGAGGGGTTAGAGTCGATAACTTCTAATCCATTTACCTCTCTCTGGCGTGGGTTCGATCCCTGGGAGATGCTTTGGTAGTTTAGCGCGGAGGAAGGTAGTCTAGTACTGGTGTAACTCTCCAGGAACGATGGTTAGGAAACTACCCGCCTATATGACTGAAATACTGTTGGGAAAAGGCGTAACATGAAACAAACAAACAATGTATATATTATTTTCTGTAAGTAGATAATTTCCTTTTCACTATAATTATGTCACTATTATAAAATTTATGCATTTCTTACATTTATTTCAGGTCTTGATGACCAGGGTCTATATCGTGTGGTGGGGGTCAGTTCTAAAGTAAACAAACTTATAACATTAGGTCTGGACAGGAAGAAAGCTGATAAACTGGATCTGAATGACCCGACGCAGTATGAGACTAAAACAATAACTAGTGCTGTAAAACATTATCTCAGGTAGAGTTTTTACTTTGCTATATCAGGTTTTTTTTACACTTAACCAGTTTAATTTATGTAAAGGATTTTGCCTTTCTTTGGTAAAGTCAATTCAAAGGTAAATGGATTTCAATATTAAAATACAAAAATTGTGCTACCAAACAGTTTCGAGCCTTGTTAGTCTGCATGAATATACAGGCTTGCCTGGCTCTATATTGGTGGCAAAGGGGTAAACATTGTTGGTTCCAACAAGTTATGGGTTTATGTTATACAGATTTAGTCATTTAAATACATGATTTATGGTGGGACGTCCGTACCCAAGTAATTAAGTCCATTGACCTTAAACTACTTGCCCCTTACCACTGTAGGTTCGAGCTGTGCAAGTGTCATAAAATTCTACACATGAGAAAGCTATCCAGCTAGCCTATGGAATGTCAGTGGTTCTACTCAAGTGTCCCTTTGTACTGATATAATGTACAGAGGGGCACATGAGGTCTTCCTCCACCAGTAAAGCTGGAAAGACCTATATTCTGTTTGATGCGACAAAAAACCCATCGAAAAAAAATTAAGAAATAAATAATTTAAACTGTTCAATTTATTTTAACAACTTTGTAGAATGTAGGTAACTTTTCTTTGATAACAGATTTTAAAATATGTGTGTAAATTAATAACAAGACTAGGGTAAATTCAGTTAATAACAATTATTATAAAATCTATATGGTACAGCAGTGTCTGACCTACTGATTTTCTTGATTTCAGGACACTTCCAGAACCATTAATGACATTTAAATTACATGCTGACTTTATATCTGCTGCCAGTAAGTATAAACTATTGTAATATCTGCCATATAGTGAAGATTAACTATAGTAATAAAGTGTACTATTATTAAAATTTATTAATTAAAGCTGAATAAAACAAAATGTTAAAATGGGACTGTAGCAGACAGGTTAATGGTCATTGACACCTCTTTTCTAAGGGTTTTCATTTCCACCAAGGAGTTGAGATTTTTTTCATGTGAGGAAGCTATTCATTTATGTTAAGAAATTTCACTGGTTTCTATACTTGCTTGGAATGATATACAGCCTGCCGCTGGAAACTGACCCTATGCCTTTGACATTTTTGAATGCCTGAACTTGACTAAAGAAATGGCTGGTGTCTACCTAGAGGCATGAATAGTGTTGCTGCTGTGTAAGGAATCAGTGCTGTGACCCTATTCAGACTCAAACTCATCACCATCTTGTATGGAAGATAGACACAATGTTCACTAAGGCTCTCCTCCCTTTTGTCCACAGCTTATGGCATTAAAACAGAGAAAATGAAATATTTAGTTGGTTGTAAAGTTTAGGATATTGTGTAAAACACTGGAAAATCTGCTCAAATATATACTGGAAATATGAAATGGCTATTTTTGAGTCAATGTTTATAGCTTTACTAAAAAAATTATATGAATAATACTGCTGAGCTTTAGACCTCAAGAGTTGTCATATTTAACTGTGTAATTTTTCTAAGACGTACAGTTGATTAAATTTTGCTTAAGATACTGAACATAAATTTATTAACAGATATTTGTTTACAAATGTATTTATAATTTTTATTGTTGTATGAATGTCCTTTTCATATTTTTGCTGTTAGCCAAAATCATCTTTCCTGTTTCGATGTCGTATGACCTAAATTGTGTTGGTGTGCGGTAAAACAAAACAACATATCATTGTTTGGTATAAGTTTTGATTGATATTAATTTTGAGGTATATTTTTGCAGAACGGGAGTCCCAGAATTTACGACTGCTGGATATACACACTCTCGTACATAAACTTCCAGAGGCTAACTTTGAAATGTTAGATCTTATAATAGCTCATCTTAGAAGGTAAGGAGTGTCATGTTATTTAGAAAAAAATGTCACATTTAATAGTGTGTGTTGGCCCAGTAATAGAAAGTGCTTTGAGAGAATTGTACAAGAGTACTATTAGGGTGCTTCATATTAGAGAAGTATTCCTAGAAATATCAGGATGTCACATGTATGAAAAAATTGTCACATTCCCTGAACATGCTCTATATGCAGGATTATTATGTACTTTAAAATATCACTTAAATATATATACTGCATAATATTATTATAATGAAAAGCTGATGCTGATTAATTTATTGAAATGTGTCATTACATAATAAAGGGTTGGTGGTGATTATTTAGAAAAACTGACTTAATGGTGGTTGGTCCTCAGTATGGGTTTCAAATTGTACAGAGGCTTTTGGATTTCCTAGTAAAGGACCTATCAGCTTGCTTAAGAAAAGTTAATGTTTCCTACCTAACTGCCTCCGTGTTGAAGTTATGAGTGTACTTTAATTCCCAATTAAATATCTTGCTGCCAATGGAAAGCTGCTTGGTAGTTTACTGAAAGGTGTTCTAATAAAGGTGACTCTCAGGAACTGAAAGGGTTAGGAAACTACGCCGCCTATGCTGTGAAATACTTTGGAAAGAGGTGTTTTTCATGAAGAAGCTATCCAGCTTGCTTACGAAAAAACCTGAGGTGCCCTTAAATAATCAAAATAATGCAAAGAAGAGCACCTTAGGCTTCCCACCACTTAAGCAGGGCTGTCAACTAATGACCTTTACAAAGTGTTGGTATGACTTAAAACCCAACCAAAGTTCAAACATAAATAAAAGCTTTCCTTATTTGGTATTGTTATAGGATTTAAAACATATTCTAACTTTGAAAGCATAGTGTAACCTAACAATATGCTATTCAAAAGCCCTGTTGATTCATTACTTGTTAAGTTCTTTTGAATAATTATGCCTTATAGTACTATCAAGAAGGAGATACAAAGAAATCTAATACTTTATTTTAAACTTCCAGAGTTGATGAGTTAGACTTAAATAATGTCAAAGGTGATATAAAACCATTTCTGGAAAGAAAATGTGGTAATGCCCGTATTGTGTTAAACCCCCAACATGTGTCACATTGATTAATTTGTTGACTTAAGTGAAAGGAACATGATAAAGACTTTTTTTTTGCTTTCAGAGTGTCCCGAAATGCTGATAAGAATTTAATGACTGTAGCGAATCTTGGTGTTTGTTTTGGTCCGACGTTGATGCGGCCGGAAGAAGAGACTGTAGCGGCCATTATGGACATCAAATTCTGTAACATTGTGATAGAAATACTAGTTGAACATTATGATATGGTGAATATTTATATGTTATGATTTTGAAAGATTAATGTAACTTTTGTTTATAAGGACTATGGAGACCTTGACTTTTTTATATGCCTGTTTTAAAAACGGGTCATATAATAGGAACACCCGTGGTGGGTGGACAGTCTGGTGGGCGGCCAATATTTTCCATAGCATATCTCCTACACACATTGAGGGATTTTATTAAAACTACGTAGAAATGTTCACCACTATGAGAAGCTGGTCTTGGGCATGACGAAGGTCTCTAGGTTATAGGTCAATGTCACACTTGGAGCTCATTGAAAAACACTTGCCCAAAGCAAAACTATTACATGCATTAATGGATTTCAATATAACTTGGCACAAATGTTTACGATTTTGAGACAGAGTGTTACAGGTAAAATTCAGGTCCTAGCAGCTAAGGTCAAGGCCACAGATAGAGGTCAAAGTTCAGGTAAAATATGAAAATTTGTATTTGGACCATTAAGTCATCATTTATTTAAGGATTGTAACACAAATGGTCATTTTTATTACTACGGCTGTGACACTTGTAAATAAGGTTAATACATGTACATTGTATATGCAATGTCAAGGTCACAAAAGATGATAAAATATACAGATTTTATTTGGAGCATATCTTCTACATGCATGGAGGAATTCTAATAAAACTTCATAGATATGTTCACCACTATAAGAAGCAGTATCATGTGCATAAACTAGGTATCTAGGTTAAAGATAAAAAGTCACACTTAGAAGCTATTGAAAAATGCTTGTTCAGTGTGCAAAATTTCTACATTACTAGGGGGATTTTAATGTAACTTGGCACAAATGTTCACCATTGTGATGCTAAGTGCTGCACGCAAATCCAGGCCCCTTCAACCAAAGTTCAAGATTTAACATCAAAACAGAATATGTGTACAGGGACCATTTAGTCATCATTTATTGATTGATTGTCACACAAATGATAACTATCATGACTACAAGTGAGACACATGTAATCTAGGTAATTATTTGCAAGGTCAAGGTCACTAGAGACTTTAAAATATCCAGATATTGTCTGGGTATTGCCCAGAGCATATCTCCTATATGCATGTCTATAATGTCCACATCTCTGTCAAAAGCTTTTGTGACAGGCGTATTTTGCAACAATGTTGCCCTTGTTGTACATGTGCTTTTCATCTGTACATGTAAAACGAAGATCTTTACCTCCTTAGTGCAGTATACTGTAAACAAGAACTTTTTGGAGACAATTAGTTTGATTGTTGCCAAGAGGTGTTGCTGTAGAAGGGTTTTATTTATTGTAAAGTTTTACTTTTTTTGGTGGTACCAACCATTAATCAGTACCAGTTGGAGAATTTTCTTGGGCCTAGGTGAATGGTACTGAAGATATAAGAAAATTGTTTTTAATTTTTTGTTTTTGAAATTCACTTTTCAGGAATTTTTGTTAAAAGGATATTCTTGAGTTGAATTTTTATGGCTTCAAGAGTCAGAGTTGTCTTAACAAATCAATATAAGAGAATCAGATAATCTTATTTTTTTGGAAGGTTCTCTTTTGCAAGGAATTGACAGTATGTATAGCCTGTTTAATTTTATTTGAATAAACTTAACTAACAGTTTTAGATTACATATCAGTGATTTAAAACCTATCTGTAGATGAAGATCTGTGATTGGTTAATTTTGAAATTGTTATTTTTTCTTTCTAGATAACCAATCATTTGTTTAGAGTATTTGACTGGTCACTTTTTACAACAAAATACTACTTGTTGATTAATAATGGAGGTCTTTAAATTAAAATCTTCTCAAAATTTGCATGAATTATTTATAACATTTTGTTCCTGTTTTTCTTCTTTTCAGACTTTTTATTTATACTTCAATTGTTCTTGTTAATTTTAAACATTTTAATTTTGTTAAGAATAAATATTTCATAAAATGTTAAAAATTTTTCAATACATATGTAAGACAATTTGCTGAACTGAACATTAAAGATCATTTTTATATGCCCGAAAGAATTTCGGACATATTATGTTATACCCCCTGGCGTCCGTCCGTCCGTCTGTTAGCAAATTGGTTTTCGGAGCATAACTTAAGTTCCATTTGGCCCACAATATTCAAACTTCATAGGATGATTGTCCATATTGGGTAGAAGACCCCTATTGATTTTGGGGTCATAAGGTCAAAGGTCAAGGTCACTATGACCTTAAAACTGAAAACAGTTTCCGGAGCATAACTTAAGTTCCATTTGGCCTACAGTGTTCAAACTTCATAGGATGATTGTCCATGTTGGGTAGAAGACCCCTATTGATTTTGGGGTCACAAGGTCAAAGGTCAAGGTCACTATGACCTTAAAACTGAAAACAGTTTCCGGAGCATAACTTAAGTTCCATTTGGCCTACAGTGTTCAAACTTCATAGGATGATTGTCCATATTGGGTAGAAGACCCCAATTGATTTTGGGGTCACAAGGTCCAGGGTCAAGGTCACTTGACCTTAAAACTGAAAACAGATTCCGGAGCATAACTGAAGTTCCATTTGGTCCACAGTGTTCAAACTTCATTGGATGATTGTCCATATTGGGTAGAAGACCCCTATTGATTTTGGGGTCACAAGGTCAAAGGTCAAGGTCACTATTACCTTAAAACTGAAAACAGTTTCTTGAGCATAACTTAAGTTCCATTTAGCCCACAATATTCAAACTTCATAGGATGATTGTCCATATTGGGTAGAAGACCCCTATTGATTTTGGGGTCACAAGGTCAAGGTCACTATTACCTTAAAACTGAAAACAGTTTTCGAAACATAACTTAAGTATCATTTGGCCTACTGTGTTTAAACTTCATAGTATGATTGTCCATATTGGGTAGAAGACCCCTTATGATTTTGGGGTCACAAGGTCAAAGGTCAAGGTCACTATTACCTTAGAATTGAAAACAGTTTCTGGGGCATAACTTAACTTCCATTTGGACCACAATATTGAAACTTCAAAGGAGGATTGTTATTTGAAGGAAGTTATACTTTATTTAATTCCCCTGTCTTACAAATGTGTCATCTTTACTAAAAAAAAATCACTTTCGGGCATATAATGCTCCGCCTAGCGGTGCTCTTGTTTATTTGGCATGATGTACATAGTAACATTCAAAGCAGCATACCTCTAGATTCATGTTAATTTTCATGAAAATTTTTAAAGTGTATTGAAAAGTATCATATTGTGAAGTAAACAAAAAAAGTATTTTACACATTGCAAAAAGTACTTACAATCCAGGTAAATTACCAAAAAGAGGTCAAAAATAGCCCTTACTGTGTTAGTCACACAGTAGGAATATGGTGATAAATACGGAAAATCAGTCATTGATGGCACATAACATGTAAATTATTACTTGAATCTTGAATTATTTTACTTTTCAGTTTCAGAAGTAAATTGATATATTTCTACCATTTATTGTGTCGCCTCTACGGAGTAGTGGCGACATATAGGGATCACTTCTCCGTCGTCTGTCTGTCCGTCTGTCTGTCCGTCCGTCTGTCCGTCCGTCACAAAACTTGTCCGGACTACTCCTCATAAACTACTGGTGCAATTTCATCCAAACTTTACAGGAATGATCAGTACCAAGTCTAGTTGTGCAAGTTGTCAGCATTTTCCGGTTCAATGATTTTTGCTTGAGTTATGGCCCTTTAATAATTTTTATTTTTAAAGTTTGTCCGGACTACTTCTCTTATACCACTAATGCAATTTCAATGAAACTTTACAGGATTGATCTGTAGCTCAAGTCCTTGCGCATATTGCATGGGTTTTCCGGTTGAATGATTTTTGGCCGAGTTATGGCCCTTTGATAAAAAGGTGTTTTTTTTCTGTGTGTTGCCAGATACGCAAAAGCTTGTCCGGACTACTCCTCATAAACTACTGGTGCAATTTTATCCAAACTTTACAGGAATGATCAGTACCAAGTCTAGTTGTGCACTGTCCGTCTGTCTGTCCGTCTGTCACAAAATTTGTCCTAACATGAAAATGGCCATCATGAGGCGACACATGTGATTACTGATCGCTCTTGTGATTCCTTGTTTGTAACTAATGATTATAAAATTTAAGATTCATTATAATACAAGTACTTAAATATATATTGTTCAAGAATCATGAATCAAACTTCAATACTTTTTCAGATTTTTAAACAAGCCCCTGAGGATGCTGAACTACGCACTAATTTATCGAAGAATCAGTCACAAGAGCAAAATGCAAACAGACGTATAAAATCAATGGCTCCCGGCCCGCCTGTAAATCATATGAGTAAGCCTACACATGTCACAGCAACTGCACAGAGTGTGCCGCAGTCGCCTCGGCAATATGCAAATATATCTTCCGGTCTTCCATATTCACAGCAGCAACAACAACCGCCGCCGCCTAACAGGGGAAAGTATAGGCCTGTAGATGTGTATAATCCTACTACAGGAAGTAAGTCTAGTTTTAAAGATAATGAAAAAGATTTTTACAACCTTATAAGGAGATGATTTTTATTTGTTATTTACTTTGGTAAAAAAATTAACATTGACAAAAGGATTTCCCCATGTTGTTTTTGTAGATTTTTTTATTTTATTTCTCGATGTCTTAAATTTTGGGGGTTTTAAAAGAAAAATTGTAAAATTTTAAGATTCTGCTTTTTTAAAGACAGACGTGGAAGGTTAAGATTTTTCTGTTTACAATTTAATAGACAGATTTTGAAGTTTAAGCTTCTGCTGTTTAAAAGACAAACTTTAAAGTTAGAAATCCTGCTTATTTACTATTCAGACTTTCATGTTTCCATAGAAACATATTTTGAACCCTTGACAATAAATTTACTTCGCAAGTTTCTACATCTTTTTTATTAATATTTTCTTTAAGGTTTTGAGACTCAAACAAATAATAGCATCAGTGGAAGCTCAGAGTCCCTGAACTCTAACCAGTCTAACCATGTGAACAGTTCTCCTGCCTTAAACCAGTATGACCCGTCGCGGCGGGGCTATCCTGTGCGAGGCCCCGGTACAGGGCCGGTGTACTCTAACATCAACGTCAGTGAATTAGGTAACTGTTATGATTATATTTTTTAGTTGATTTAAGCATTTCAAAATATTTATCTGCTTTGTTTTGTATTTAATATGAAAATAGATATGCATTTCACATTCTGTATTGTTTTTTATACGCTTTTTTGTATGAAAAATGCTAGATGTGAAAAACATGAATATTTACATTTTGATTCTTCTATGTGATAAACATTATGTGTAAGATATATTAGAAATGATAAACATAAACATATATGATAAACCAATATTGCAATGGCTTATGATGTACAATGTAAAAATGTATGCCTACTGAAAAGAGATAATATATCTCAAAATAAAATTTCAGAACTATTTAAGCAGTGATATTTTAATATGCTTTTATATTGAATCTGTTTGAAAATAGTATTTGTTTGACATGTTAATCTCTTTGATTATCTGTATCTACTATTAGCCAATTTCTATTGTAGTACGTACTACTATACTTAAAGAATTATACTTTTTCCATAATGTTATTTAAGTGCCTTATGTACTTATACAAGCATTTAAGTTGCAAAACTTCTTTGTGACTGTACAAGCAAGCGTTTGTGTAACATTGAATAATCCTGTTTAAAAACATTTTTGAAATGTACAGGTCACAAATGCCCTGTTGAAAAAATAGAGTTTGAAAACACAAAATTAAATGGTAAGTTGTGATGAGGAATGTTGATCTTCCCATGTATCTTTACATATTTTGAGAGCTCGAGGCAATACTGTACTAACTTTATGTTGGAACCATAGGAACTTAATGCACCAGTCAGTTGAAATCCTGCCCCTCCTTTCACTTCCACCGACCCTTAGGGACAAGCGAGAACTTCCACAGACTCTTAAGGACAAGTGAAAACCTCCCACTGACTCATAGGGACAAGCAAGAACCTCACACGGACCATTAGGGATGAGCTAGAACCTTCCACTGACCCTTAGGGACGAGTTAAAACCTCCAACCAACCCTTAGGGACAAGCAAGAACTTTGAATTTAGGATTATTAAACTTCACTACAGTGTCAGTCAGATAGTAAAATCTCAAGTAGATTGTCACCTTGGTGCAATAACTGGTTAACGCTTATGAAATTTAGGAGGACTTAACCCATTTCTGCACTAAGGTGATGATAAATGACCCTTTGCCCTGCCATTTGGACATATCTTTTGCTGCTTTGGCACTGACACGAAACTACCATACTGATGCAACAATGCAAGGAGGTACGGATAGGATATTGTCTCATTTCTTTGCAAGAACATTGAATCTGTAATCCAGGGCTAGCTGGTTATGATCCTTGCACAAGTGGAATTTTCTCTATTACAATTGATCCCAGATATCCAGTTTTAATGTCATTTGTTTGAACACCACTTTCATTCATTATATTAGAAAAAATATGCTGGATTGTCAGTCACTTGTGGAGAAATTGGTAAATACTTGTTAGTTATGTAGGAAAGCCAGTAAAGTGAACTGACCACCGTGATAGGACTACAATGTGTTAAAATCTGCGTAAACAACCAGACAGCCAACAAACAATTATTTTCCCTCCTATATTCTGCCCTTCCCTGCCCTGCCAAACTGCCCTGCCATATTCTGCCCTGCCTTACTTGGGGTTTGGGATAGGTTAAGAATTGACTGGTGCATTTTAAAAATACTTGTTATCTGTATTGCACTGAACTGTCAAAATAATGCCACATGTCTTTTGTCTCTAACAGCTCTTTGCTATATAATTGTTCTAATTTTATACATCTGTTGACAATTTATCCATCTGGCATGGAAAGGAGAAATATATAAAAATTGCTGTTTGCTTGATTTTTTAGAAAAATACATGTATTTTGGGGGTTTTAAATTATTATTTTATGGGCCCCTGTTTTAAATCTATTTTTTCTTCCTTACTGAACGTTTTATTTTTCTCTTTTTATTAAATTTGGGTTAAGCTAAGCAAACTATGATTTTAAACATACAGAAAAATTCTTAACTAGAATTTTTTTTCTAGATTTGTGTATTATAGTTAAACTTGCTGTAAAGGCACCATTAATTAAAGATCAACCTGTATTTAAAGAGCAATCTAAAACTATCCTTCATTGATTAAATAGAACAGAGTAACCTCCATATAAACACCACTGATGTCTAAAGGCCATGTTTTGTCACTCCTTTGTGTGGCCTTTATTCACAGCTTTGACTGTATTTGTTCTAGGTCTTGCTCTTAATCTTGTGTACAAAATTTCTGATCATTTGCTCTCTCTGTTTTGGCAGATTAATCATTTTCAATGGGAAAAAGTTAAAAAAAAAATTTAAACCATTAAAATGTTACAAATTCAAAAACCGCTGAGAATCATACAAAAATTGATTTTCAATTGAATTCTGATTATATTTCTGAATATTTATTGTCTTTGCAGTGACCAAGTTGATCCATATAAGAATTACAATAATTATGTTTTTAGGCTTTTGGACCTTATAGTGGAGTTCCTTAAAATGCATGAGAAGAAAAATACAAATTAATTAATTAAACCCTGCTGCCCTCAGTTTAAATTTGCATGGATATAATAGGCATTTACTGCTACATAATATGCAAGCAAAAAGTCTAGAATTCAAAGCGTTAATAAGACATACATCCCTGAGATATACATATCATGAACATGTAGGATTGTGTAACTTCATAATCTTATAATTCGGAAATTGCGACAAATTTCTAATTTTTAACTTGTCCGTTTCGAAGAAAAAGTCTAGCTTTTTGGTTGCTGTGTTGTTGTCATCATCATCATTATGTCGTGCAAAAACGTTATTATTATTTTATGAATATACATATATATTACATGAAACTTGGAATACATGTTATATCATGACAAGGTGCAGTTGTTAGACGAGTGGCATAATAATTAATTCTGAAAGCAATATTAAGTTATGCCCCCTTTTTAACTAAGATTATTTAACAGATGATTGTGAACACCTGAAGCGGTGCTCTTGTCGTACAATTAACGTCACAATTATATTACTATTTGAAACTCACATAACTTTGTTAAGATACATGAAATTATTTTGTATGTAGCATCATTAGTTTTCCTAGAGCAGCAGAAATAATTTTGCAGTCCAAATAAGAAAGCATAAAGAACATGGATGTAGTCATTTGCTAGATGTCATGATCATAGTTTCATGAAAGGTCTTAGCTTGTGTTTTATGGATACAAATATCTGCTTCATTTATGCATTTATGTGCCCAAACATTAATTGATATACCAAAACTAAAGATTATTAAATAAACTCCTCAGTTCTCTAATAAATGCACCCTATACTCACTATAATTAATGCCCTTGTTTTGGAAAAAATGTAAGGTCCGATAGGAGCGTTTATTAGAGTATATAGTTACCCTCATAAGGTTACAAGTCCGATAGGAGCCTTTATTAGAGTATATACTGTACAATGAATGTTTTTGTCCTGCCTGTCTCATGTTTCACTGTCTCTGCAGACAATCTTAACCTGCTGAATGTCTTTATGGACTTGTCCGGCTTTTCATTTTGGAACTTTCCATTATTTTTTGGGGGGATATCAATATGAAAATGTTAAGCTGGTCAACCAACAGTATAGAGCCTTGTCATATGGCATGGAAATGCTTACTGGTCCGGCTCTAAACTGGTGAAGCTAGGCTAGTTACTTTCAGTACACACATTGTCTTTACAGTAGCATCTTTATTCTAAAAGCAAGAACCTTCATATTTAAAGCTACATTTTATACATTAAATTTTGACCTTGACCTCTAATTGACCTTTAACCTTCAAGGTTAGATTTTGCTAAAGTAGAAAAATCCTAAAGTAGATAATTTCTTTTTTTTGTATTAACAGATTTAGGACAGGGGTATTAATTCTGGTTTTCACAATGTGATTCTGTTTATTTTATTTAGTAAAAATACAAAAAAACATGTCACTGGCATTCTTTGAAAATTAGATTTTTTTTTACATGAATAGTGATAAACTGACTATATATATGTTTATCCTTTCTGTTTACCTTTCAGCAAATCGACTGATTTTGTCAACTTCAGATGTTCCTACTTTGTAAGTATCTTGTTTTTATAAATATCCATTTGGTCTTAATAAGTGCACCCTGACATAAATTGTAATGTGGAAAGGTGCAATTATTTGGAGAAAAACGATGGTGGAAAATAGACAGAATTCTTCATTTTAATGAAGCAAATTTTTCTGCCATATTACCAAGTAGTGCTTGGGTCCTAAAAATATGTCAGTGTTCTAAAAAAACAATTAATAGACGATTTTAGTTTTGAATTTTTTTTGCTTTTAGTATAGAATAAAAACTATGAAAATAATTATGTTAATGGAAAGGTGGCTTGTAATGGTAAAATTGAAATCATAAAGTCTTTTTTTGTTGTTGTTTTTTTTTAAATACTGAAGTCGGGACTTCTTTAAATTTTTATTTAGAATTTGGAGCACTGACTAAAATTTGTTTTTATTTTAGGGGAAGATTCTTATTTATGAGTAGTAATTTTTTCCAGAATGCTTTAAGCATAGGATTATTTAGCATATTACTTTACAAAGCTGGATTTAGGCATTATCATTAGTGCTAGAATTTTTTGTTTCGAGGTAGGGTATATTGACAGGGATTTTTCCATTTTAGAGCAAATTTTTAATGTAAAAATAGACAAAACACGAAGTTTTGCAATTGTAATAATCGATCAATATAATCTTATAATTATTTCATAGCTTGTTTTGATGATGCTTAGTACTAAGTGAGAAAAAATTTGATTTGCGTGGCCATGTAAATGATTTTAGTCTATTTTACAGATAACTGAACTAATAATTTGCTGTATTAATTATACAGTAAACTTCACCCACTGTATAACAATTTACCATTCCACTTATAACGATATAGTCCCCTTTAAACAATGCTGTCGCTGGGGTCCTTATTGATGCGCTCCTTCTTTATTTCATGTTTACCTTCTGCTTGTAATGACAATCAGACACAGTGATATTTCGGATATAATGACGCTTTTTTCTGTTCCGATCGCAATCTTTTACTTTTAAATACGCTTAATTTTGTACATTGAAAGGAGTTAATGATTGTTAGTAACCAGCCAAAGATTCAGGCTTTAACATTTATGACTTTTACTCGAATGATCACAGTAAATTGCTCAAATTACTGTCCAATAGGCAAACTTCAAATTACTTGAAAACAGAATTTTTTTGTGAATGACTAAATGGCTTGAGTAATAAATCCTTTTTTACATGATTATAACATTGTAACATTGGATATATAGAAACAAAATATCAAATAATATGTGACTTTTAGATAATAGCGATAATGGGATATAATGAAATAACGATAATGGGATATAACGATAAAATTTGTCAGTCCCCTGAATATCGTTATAAATGGAGTTTACTGTATATGTATTTTATTACGACTATTTATAGCTGAATAATTCAATGGCTAAAACTGAATGGCTTGTTGTATATTTTTCAATTTTAAAGTGATGACTTAACAAAGTACTGTTATTAATAACGTTATGTTTCAATCAATGAGAATAACAGTTGGTTTTTGCTTTATTAACTGCTTATTAATGATGCTAATGTAAACCAGAAATATTTTAGATTATTACAAGTGTGACAAAGAACTGTAATTGTAGTCTTAAAAGTTTTGCCATTTGTTTTTTTTATGCACAGATATTTTGATAGAATTGCAGTCAGTTTAGTGTAGAATTGCTGTCAATTCTCTATGTGTGGTTTGGCCTTTGATGTGGAATAGTAGATCACTGAAACCTGTGTTAAATTCCAGAGAAAATGGCTGACAAGGCAGTGTCCTGTTTTGTATAATATAATATTATGTACAAATATTTCTGGTTTACAGTTTTAAAGAATTGAACTAGTATTTCACAAACCAGCTTTTAAGCCGAATATTTAACCAGATAGAAGAAGCTTGCAAGCAAAGACAAAAAAAAAAAATTAAAAAAAAAAATTGAATAATCTTTGGATACATGATCAGTAGCCTAAAGTTTACATAAATTCTATAGGGATTAAAGCATTGGGGCAACAGAGTTTTAATGACTGCTTTTAATAACATTGTCCTTGATACTGGCTCATTTTTAGCTCGACTATTCGATAAGAATAAGTAGAGCTATTGCAGTCACCCGAGCGTCGGCGTCGGCGTTGGCGTCGGCGTAACCACTTATGTTAAAGTTTTTGTAATAGTTCAAATATTTTCAAAGTCCATTGACATATGGCTTTGAAACTTTGCACACTTGTTCACCATCATGACCCCAATCTGTAGACAGGAGGAGGTAACTCTATCAAGCATTTTGACAGAATTATGCCCCTTTTTCGACTTACAATTTACGTTAAAGTTTTTGTAATAGTTAAAATATTTTCAAAGTCCATTGACATATGGCTTTGAAACTTTGCACACTTGTTCACCATCATGACCCCAACCTGTACACAGGAGGAGGTAACTCTATCAAGCATTTTGACAGAATTATGCCCCTTTTTTGACTTAGAATTTACGTTAAAGTTTTTGTAATAGTTCAAATATTTTCCAAGTCCATTGACATATGGCTTTGAAACTTTGCACACTTGTTCACCATCATGACCCCAATCTGTAGACAGGAGGAGGTAACTGTATCAAGCATTTTGACAGAATTATGCCCCTTTTTCGACTTAGCATTTACGTTAAAGTTTTTGTAATAGTTAAAATATTTTCAAAGTCCATTGACATATGGCTTTGAAACTTTGCACACTTGTTCACCATCATGACCCCAACCTGTAGACAGGAGGAGGTAACTCTATCAAGCATTTTGACAGAATTATGCCCCTTTTTCGACTTAAAGTTTACGTTAAAGTTTTTGTAATAGTTCAAATATTTTCCAAGTCCATTGACATATGGCTTTGAAACTTTGCACACTTGTTCACCATCCTGATCCCAACCTGTAGACAGGAGGAGGTAACTGTATCAAGCATTTTGACAGAATTATGCCCCTTTTTCGACTTAGAATTTACGTTAAAGTTTTTGTAATAGTTAAAATATTTTCAAAGTCCATTGACATATGGCTTTGAAACTTTGCACACTTGTTCACCATCATTACCCCAACCTGTAAACAGGAGGAGGTAACTGTATCAAGCATTTTTTTACTATCAAGCACTTAGAATAGTCGAGCGTTGCTGTCCTACCGACAGCTCTTGTTAATGCCATTGTTCTTGAAAACTTTCTCATTTAATGTATTGTCCTTAATACTGGCTCATTTAATGCCATTGTTCTTGAAAACTTTCTCATTTAATGTATTGTCCTTGATACTGGCTCATTTTAGCTCGACTATTCGATAAGAATAAGTAGAGCTATTGTAGTCACCCGAGCGTCGGCGTAACCACTTATGTTAAAGTTTTTGTAATAGTTTAAATATTTTCAAAGTCCATTGACATATGGCTTTGAAACTTTGCACACTTGTTCACCATCATGACCCCGACCTGTAGACAGGAGGAGGTAACTGTATCAAGCATTTTGACAGAATTATGTCCATTTTTCGACTTAGAATTTACGTTAAAGTTTTGTAATAGTTCAAATATTTTCAAAGTCCATTGACATATGGCTTTGAAACTTTGCACACTTGTTCACCATCATGACCCCGACCTGTAGACAGGAGGAGGTAACTTTATCAAGCATTTTGACAGAATTATGCCCCTTTTTCGACTTAGAATTTACGTTAAAGTTTTTGTAATAGTTCAAATATTTTCAAAGTCCATTGACATATGGCTTTGAAACTTTGGACACTTGTTCACCATCATGACCCCGACCTGTAGACAGGAGGAGGTAACTGTATCAAGCATTTTGACAGAATTATGCCCCTTTTTCGACTTAGAATTTACGTTAAAGTTTTTGTAATAGTTCAAATATTTTCAAAGTCCATTGACATATGGCTTTGAAACTTTGCACACTTGTTCACCATCATGACCCCAACCTGTAAACAAGAGGAGGTAACTGTATCAAGCATTTTTTTTTTACTATCAAGCACTAAGAATAGTCGAGCGTTGCTCATTTTTAATGCCATTGTTCTTGAAAACTTTCTCATTTAATGTATTGTCCTTGATACTGGCTCATTTAATGCCATTGTTCGTGATACTGTTGAGCTTTTGTGATCGCTTTTTGTCCGGTGTCTGTCCGTAAACTTTATCTTTAAACGACATCTCCTCATAAACTGCTAGGCCAATTTAATCCAAACTTCACAGGAATGTTCCTTTGGTAGTCAACTTTAAAAATTGTTTGAAGAAATTTGATTGTGTGTAAGAACTCTGAGAAAAACCTTAAAAAGTCTTCTTTTAGAAAATCGAAAGAGCTAGAGCTTAAATATTTGGCATGAAAGATTGTGTCGTCAATGTCTACCAAATTTTTTCAAATAAGCCCTGGGGTCAAAATTGGTCATGCCCCAGGAGGTCATAGATTTTCCTTATTTGTATATAGTAAAAAATTAAAAAATCTTCTTTTAAAAAACCCAAACAGCAAGATGAGCAATTTCAGGGTCATTATGACCCTCTTGTTTCTTTTTTCATCCATATGTCTCACTGGATCCTTTTGTATTAATTTATTATTTATTCAACTTTAGATCTAGCTGTTCTATTATTTTGGTTCCAGGCTTTGGAAGCTGTCTATCTTGTTACTGTGTGGGGAACCAGTCAAGTGGCCTTAAATGGACATTTGAAATGTGATGTAACTTGAATTAACCTCAATGTTAATAAGATAAAACTTAAGTAGGGTAACACATAAACTGTGATTAAAATTATAGCTGGAAAAATTTCAAAATTTATCAATCTTCTATAAGTACTGTATTTATAAATTTCATTGATAAAATTTTATTTTGAAATATATTGAATTAGCATTGGACTGTTCCAAATTTAAAGCAAGTCTAGTCTATTGTACTATCATATTAGGTTAAAGGTTAAATGCAGATGAATTTGTGTCAAGGCCATGTGGTTCCCCACACTGAATATTCATTCCCTCATAAGATCATAGGATATGTATACATAAAGTTTTGCTTGTTCCCTTTATCCCAGTGGAAGCATCAAGAAAAGGACATCTAATGATCACTCAACAAATGTTATGTAAGAATTATATGCATGACCTATATTCCTATCCATATCACCATCTGTTTGGTACTTACTCTGATCTCAACTTTGTGTAACTCTTGGAGTGACCTTGACCTTTCAAACTAATTAGAAGATACTGAGAACTGGTATATAAATCATGATTTTTTGGATGTGTTTTTTTTTTTCTGAAATGTGATAGAATATCCTTTATTTTAGAATATGCATTAAAAAAACATAGGCTGTTTTATATGTCTTAGATATTTGGAGGTAACTGTTAAATCAGTACAAGTTTTGTGATATTGACCTGTTTGTTTTCTCTGAATAATACACAGTGAGTGGCACTGTTCATTTAAGCATATAACCTTTGTTATAAAGGTCATAATGTAGCAGCAAACTACTAGATGCTGCAGTAAGGTCAAAAGGTCAAGGTCATTCTGTTTAATATTGTTATTAAAAGCACAAGTTTGCATGCATCATTATAATTATTATCAATTACCCTAATATACAAGTATTATTATTATTATTATTATTATTATCACTACCACATGTACATCCATAAATAATTTGAAAACTGTTTGAACACATGATAATTATAGACCCATAATATACACGTAAAAAATGTAGTACTACTGTTAATTGTACAGAGAAATCAATACCTATTGAACTTATTGATGTAAGTTCAAACTAACAGACATAAAATATTGTTTACTTTATATGACATAAATCATTATCCGACATAAATCTTCAATATGTCTGTCACTCTTAATTGTTGTTGTTGTTGTGGTTGTGGTTTATTTTATTTTTGATATTACATTTATCAAAGATGTGTCAAACTTTTTCAAAAACACTGTAGTTTCAAAGAAGTTTTGACTTCAAATGTAAAGAAAGGCGATTATTAATAAATAATTCTAATGACATGAAATTGACCATACACCATACACATACAAAGTGTTTACTAAAAAAAAAGAAACACCACTGTAAGTTTGGATATTGCTTATAAAAGTTTCTTAATATTAGAGGGTTTTATAATGCACCATTTTTCATACATTTACATCTGCAGATGCGTGATGATTCATTTTAAGCCTGAGCACTCATGGCATGAGATACAATAAAGATGAGCGATTGACTGCAGATATGTAAATGCAGAAGAAAAAATGTATTAGCACTTATTCTGGCATCAATTTAAAATATATATGTCTAAATGGGTAATGTCATGTTGGGTTATCTGTGTTTCGTATAAAGAAACCATTGTATTTGCCATGCTTTTCATGGGCGATAGTAAGATGTCATTTGACAGTTATGTTTTGATAATAAAACTATCGGGCCATCATTGCATTAAGCTGTTTTACATTGTGCCCAGATTTAAACATATTTTAAAAAAAATGACACGTGCAACAACAGTGTATGGTCAAAAGAATCTATCCGTTAACGCATGTTTTCTTCTCCGTTAATGTATACTAATTACTTGCATATGCAGTATCTATGTAAGAATAAGCAATAGTCTGTTAAATGTAAAATAAATGGTAGACCTGTTGGAAATAATCATATAACCATAAAAAGATACAAGATAGAAAGCTTATTATATCCCATTAGTGTTATATTTAGAACCTTAATATTTACATTGTATTAGCTGAAATGTAAACATGTATAATACATAATGCATACCAAATGTAAAACTTTGTAATATAAGATAAATGTTATCATAATTATGTTAGCATGTAATTTATTACATTAGATATAAAATGTATTCTATAGGGTTAAATGTAAGCCTCATGGTACCTACATGTAGTTACGGCAAAATAATAATTATACAATATTCCAACAACATATATTATAAACTGGTAGGAATACCGGTGGTGATACCATAAATAAACTTTATACCATTAATAACTTTATACCATTAATAATTTTATACCATTAATGACTTTATACCATTAATGACTTTATACCATTAATGACTTTATACCATTAATGACTTCATACCATTAATGACTTCATACCATTAATGACTTTATACCATTAATGACTTTATACCATTAATGACTTTATACCATTAATGACTTCATACCATTAATGACTTCATACCATTAATGACTTCATACCATTAATGACTTCATACCATTAATGACTATACCATTTATGGCTTCATACCATTAATGACTTCATACCATTAATGACTTCATACCATTAATGACTTTATACCATTAATGTCTTCATACCATTAATGACTTCTTACCATTAATAACTTTATACCATTAATGACTTCATACCATTAAGAATAAAAATTCTATTGAACAGTTTTATTTCTGCCTATTTGTCAATTTGAGAACTCCTGAAAACGTCCTTAATAGTAAAAGTTTGTATCCCTGTACAAAATGTGAAAAACTCCTATTTACCAAGTTCCAAAAAATTACGTCCTATTTTTGTTGTTGTACAAATTAATGTTAAAATTAATTTAATTAAGTCATTTACTGGCAGAAGAATGTAGATTTAGTCTACGTTTATAATATTAAAAAACTATTAACCATTAACCGTTAGCTACTAATTTATCATTTATTAATAGTTTAATACACATTTAATACACATATAACATACAGGGATAGATGGAAACAGTTTTACTCAGGTTAAAGGGATAGTGACTTAGTACTTGTGTGAAAAAGAAAGCAAAAAAAAGTATATACTAGATATCAATTATAAATTATAATTGTTCACCTTAGTGCAATAACTGGTTAACTCTTATTAGAGTTTGAAGGACTTAACCTGTTACTGCACTAAGGTGATACTATGTACACACATAGGCAAATTTATTTAAAAAAAACGAAAAAGAAAAAACAAAAACACTTTGAATATGATAAATACATTAAAATGGCAAATTTCAACAAAAGACTTAAAATCACAGAGGCTTAGAATGGATAAATGGCCCATGTTGTTGTTGTTGTTTAACCCATTACTTCATGAGCATTTTGTGAAAAATGGCTGTTTTCATTGAAAAGTCTCCCGTTACAAGTTCAAATTGCTATAATACTATTAAAACTGCTTCAACACTAATCAAACTTGGCACAAATGTTGACTGGACCATTTCCCTTGCAACAACATGCTCAGGCTTAAATTTTCTGTTACCATGGCAACGAGGGGACATCTCAAAATTGCCAAAAATCACTATTTTGCGTTGATTTTGTCCATCAAAATTGATTTCAAAGTGCTGCAATTTCTCAATGGATTGAGATAGAGTCAAATGCTTTTCAGCGTTGGTTACACGTTACCTTATGATCAATCTGGGGTCATTTACAGCCTCTCACAAGTCCAAATTTTCTTGGCGATGTATCTTTTGGTTGGGGGGCTGCGCCGAAAAAGAGGTCACTTTTTTTAACAACATTTCTCAAACAAAATCAAGTGTTTGGGGCCTAAATAATGCATTTTTTCATCATTTGAGACAACAAAAAGGGGGGGTGTGAAAAAGGCGTTAAAAGGCGTGTATATGAAGTAATGGGTTAAGTATTGTTGTTGTTGTTGTCACTGGTGTCTTTCTTCTCAATTTTACTGTTGTGGAACGGTGTTGTGTGTACACTTTATAATGGCACTTATCAAAATATTTATACCGTATATGAAGTCATGGATGACCATTAATTGAATTTCTAAGACGCCTTGATAATTGTTATACATGTAAATTTCTAGCAATATCTTAAGTTCCAGTTATTGAAGATATATATTTATATAAACTCTAAACAGGCATATATAAACTCTAAACAGGCATAGTAACTGTTTCTGTAACTGAGAATTTCAACAGTTTTGCATGAATTGCCTAAACTAATCAACTAGCATTTAGATAAATATTTAGATTTCTAATCAACTTTATGGAAGAAAATTATCTGAAGGTTATGTGTGTTTATGTTTGAAGGTCAACATCTATGCAAGGTACGCCAACTTCAGGAAGGACTTCAGTGAGCATGACAGGAAGTGTTTCAGGAAGTCTGGGAGGTGGTTCTACAAATAGTAACAACTCACAGTCGAAAAGGAGGTTTGAGCTGAATTTCAATTTATATATTAAGAAAATTCCAGGGCAGGCTGTCAAGCACTGTACCAGTTCTAGTTGCCTTCACTATCGCAAGGATAACTTCTGTACATGAACAGGAGGTACAGTGCGAATAACCGTAGAATGGATTTCATGATTAATCACAACAAAAGTTACCTGCACTATCCGTGAATCGAACCTAGGTCACCCCACTCACAGTCCAACGCTCTACCTATTGAGCTTACCAGACGGCTAATCAGTTGCCATTTATCCAGAGTAGAGAAGGCTGCTTACTCGGCGGAGTGGTTACTGTTGTTTACTTCAAACCACTTGCCATTCCTGCTATTGGTTTGAATCCTGTCAGGGACTTTGGATCCTTTCAAGTGATGAATCTATCCAGATAACTTAAGGAAAATTGGTGGTTCTACTCTGGTGCCTGATCATGCCTGAAATAATGCACAGAGGGGCAACTGAAGTCTTCACCGGTAAAGCTGGGATGTTACCATATAACCTTTACACTGTTGGTGTGACATAAAAACTTAAAACGCAGTATCAAATTATTTAATTCTAAAAATTTAAAAGTAAGAATAGTTCTGTAGATTTCTGAACTCGGAAAGTTAATCTTATTAGTTGTAGACTAACTCGTCTAATTATGACATAACTAGTTACTACTTTAGTTTTTAATACTAAGAGGATGTTTTTTCGTTTGCGTGAAATATGGAATATATTTTCACGAAACATGATAAAATGCCACATATTTTCACGAACCGGTACGGCGAGTGAAAATATGTGGCATTTTATCATGTTGAGTGAAAATATATACCATATTTCACGAAAAACGAAAAAATAACCTTTTTATTTAATTTCATTATCAAAGAAAATGGTAACGAATCCCTTTGCTTGCTACCAACTGCAATTGTACAGCGCGCAGTAATTTATGCGTAAGCACGCGCTGTTTGGCGCTACATTGTGCCGTCATGTAAACAACTCTTTAATCGTCTGTACAGCGTTAATTACTGAATTAAAGATATTGGTGTTCGGATTAATTTTCTTAGTTAGACCATTTTCTATCATGCTAGATAGTTTTCAAAACAATATTCAAGAAAAAGTTGTTTTGTATTTATCAGATTTTTCAAACAAAACGGCGAAAGAAGTCCCTTAAAATAAATATTAGTTTTGACTCCGCCCACTTTCATATTTATATTTCATATTTATTTTTAAAAAATATGAAATATATTTGACTTATATAGCACCATATTTCATGGGTAAAATTAAATAATAAATGGTATCCAACCAAATATTTCATGTGTGACAATATTTTGGTATTTGATTGTTTAACCATAATCAGAGGTTATCATGTCATACTTTGCTGACATTTATTTTTTCACTATTACAGAAATGTACGGACATTATACCACTGTGAGGCTGAGAATTCTTCAGAATTGTCGTTTGAGCCTAATGAGATTATTAAAAATGGTAAATGTGATAAATACCTTTTATAATCACTTTATTTATAACATGACAGGAGTGTTGGCCTAGATAAGATGTCTGCCTCGCTTGGTCAAGGATAGTGGTTTCGAACCTTGCTAGTGTCACAACTCCGTTTCCTGATAATGACTATGGTTGGTTCCAGGAAGGAGAATTTAAAGATTGTTCAAATAAGCTTCAAACTATTATAATAATTGAGCTTTAAAAGATATATGTAAAATAACAGAGCATTAAGGGGCGTCCGTGGCCAAGTGGTTAAGGTAGTTGACTTCAAACCTCCGGTGTAGATTCATGCCCCGCCTGCATCTTTCAGTGAGAAAACTATTGAGCTAACTTAGGGATGTTGGTGGTTCTACGTAGATCTGATGTCTCTAACCAATGCAGTATATTGATGCTGATTAGCTTGTATATACTTGCTGTCGGTGGATTGGAAAGGAATTGTTTATACTGTAATTTAAAAGATTACATAATACCTAGAATGAAAGAAAAATGTTAGTACAATTCATTGAAAGTGAAACAGACTTAAAATAGCCGCAGAGTACTTTGTTTATTCTGTTAATGTACAACATTCATGTGTATTAAATTACCCAAATGTTCTAAATCGTTCAAGAAATGACACATAAGGTTATGAAAACTACCTAATTTAACTGCTTTTTGTAGATAAAGAAAAATATTTTTGAGAATGATGTTTTTTTGCGGAAAAAAAATCAGTGTTTCTGTGAATTGCTGAATGTTAAAAGTTTTAAACATGCTTAAAACTTCTTTAATTTGTATGGGTTAGTCACTATATTAAGGCTGTACACTTTATTTGGTAAATAATTGAATGTTAAAAAGTTATAGAAGAAAATGCTGCTAATAAGATCATTATTTGTATTGGTATCATTATTTGTATCGGATTTCTACCTCAAGCAGTTAAGATAAAGTCAATTGGTTTTAACACTGTATTATTGTCTGATAACCAATTGTATTTAGAAATTAAATATGCTGTTTTCTCTGCAGTGAGACCATCCAAGGAGCCGGGCTGGCTAGAGGGGTCGCTGAATGGCAAAGTTGGCTTGATTCCAGAAAATTATGTTGAGTTTATAGACTGACAAGTGTAAGACTCGACTCATTCTGCCAGACATACTGTGAAGTGACTTATATAGCAGTACAGTATAGACCTGCTGTATTTAAGAAACTTCTAGATGGTCACCCCTCCCTGGTGCTTTTTCATTTGGAGTGAAGCAATATGTGAACATGTTTGGATATGTTCTTTCCTTGTGGGTCCTGCTTATGTAATGACTGTGTATTGAAAATAGTTCAAGGCCATATATTATATTAAGACTGGCCAAATGTTGGAATTGTGAAAGCCACAAAATAGGAAGTATTGAACTATTGTTACATTTTTCTCTCACACATAAATTAGCCATACAATGTTCAGTATATTGTATAATAAGTTACTGTTGAACTGGTTATATTCTGATTAGATAAATTTTCACATTTCTTCATTCATCACTTTCATTTGTGAATAAATATGTAAGCTTGAAATTGCAAATAAGTAAATACACTATTCAGCAATACTTTCAGTTTTTGAATAAGATGATAATGCAAATTCATAAATAAAAAAGACTCAACATTTTGGTCAAAAATGCAAAATTATTGTCTACATGATATCAAGGTGTCCTAAAATGTTTTAGAAAAGTATTGAAAAAAAAATGTACAAAAGTCATCGTTAATGTATAATTTTTAAGCATATAATTGAATTTGGTGTATTTGAACTATTTTCAAGAAATAATGAAATAAGTTTAAGACACTGTTTTCTATTAATCAGTCATTTTACATTGTAAGAAAAACATTTATTTTATCAATAATAATATTATAATACTCCCTAAAATTTGATCATTGTTTTATTATTCTTGAGTTATTGCAGATAGTACATGTAGTAAGGTTAATTCTTTGTTGATAATGCAAATCAAGGTAGATATCAAGTTTTTAATATGTAATGTGAAAATAAGTCATCAGTTTCATTATTATGCTGCCAAGATAGATAACTCTTACATCTGAAATAAGCAGGTTATTTTAGAGTGACATCCCTTTGATATGATAAAATTCATAGTAAATACACATTCACTTTCCTTGATTCTATCTAGTGTAGTAAAATCAAGGCAAATAATGGTAAAATTGACATTTCATGCATTTAGTGTGGCCAGGTATATGTAGTGTTCAGTTTTTGAATTTACTTAGCTATACAAAAATATATAATTAATATATTACAAAATATATAATAATTGTAACATGCATGGATTTTACATGAAACTAAATGTGTTTTATTGCTTTAACAATGAATGTAGACACCTGAGGTAAATTAAAGAGTGTCTCAAATTTTTAAATCGTTATTTACATAGTACATACATACATGCTGTGATATAAACACTGTGTAAAAGATTATTTTGAAAGCGGGTCCTAAAATGAATGTTTTGCCCAAGTCACTTGTTTGAGGCTAAGCCTCGAGGTTATCAAACTTTTTTTCTAAGTTATGTCTTAAAGGAACTTCACTGAGGTCCAAAAGCCAAAAAAATATGAAATTAGAATTTCTTACAAATACCGGCATGAAAACTCGATAACTTGAAGAAATATACACAGAAACATGTTGAAAGTTGTGTTTCTGTGCTATTTTTAGCCTGATTTAAGTTTCGGGTCATTTTCAACATTTCGAATAATGATTCTGGAGTCAGCCAATGATCTGAAATTTTGCACATAAGTTATTGGTCTAGATCTACCTCAAATGGAAGAATAATCTCAAAAACTTATTTCTAGTCCTGTCATGTAAAAAAAAAATCTCAGTGGAGTCTCTTTAAATCTCAGGATTTTCATTGGTTAGTGAACATTCTACAGCAGTTTCTGACCAATCAGATACTCGAGATCTGAGTTTGAGCTGGGAGGATTTCTTTATAAACCTTTGACCCTGGAGTAGATGGCAGTCTTCATTTTTCTTCAGTAAATCTCCATGATCTTAGAATATTCAACTGACTAACTCTAAGCAAAAATGAAATGAATTCGTATCAACAAGGCAAAGCAATCCAGTTGAATAAACTGATTTTTTTAATTTATTTATATTTTACACGCATTTGTCATTTTGTAATATATTCTGATATGCAAAATAAAGTGTATATAATTTCTAGGTGATACATGTATGTTGTAGGTATCATTTCTATCAGTAATGGGTGTATTAAAATTGTGGCCAGTTTATCAAATATAGGTTTAGATATTTTTTTTCATTAAACGTTACGTTTGTTTATTGCTAGTTTTGATATATAATTGTGCTATGTTTTTCTCCACCGTGTTTCAAACTTGTATGTGTACAAGGCACGTGTAGGGAGAGCCATCTTATTTTCACGTTCCACTAGAATACAGAACTCTTGCCATTAATATTTACACAGTTATGTCCCTTCATTCTTTCTTTCAACTTGAAATTCTGTTTCTGTTTTTCTGTACTTTGACTTTTTTTCAAGATATTGCTTTGAAACATTGTATACTTACATGAAACATGCATACCAATTTTATTGTAAGGGTAAGTAACTCTGTCATGTATTTTGACACAATTTTCCCATTTTGATTTTAAAATTTTCATTGGCCTGATTTAATTCTAACGTCAAGTACTACAAAAAAACAAAGTGAATTGCCTTAAAAACTTTTTCCGCTCTTTCAATGGATAATTTTACAACACACATTTAACTTGCTGGTTGAAAATAATGCTACAGATTTGTGTGTGAGTTCTTTATTATGGCAGAATTTTTTTTATCATTTAATTCATTAAAGAGGGGTAAGGATTAATTACAAAATATTAAACAAAGGTAATCGTTGATATTTATGCTACAGATTCTTGTGTGTTCATTATTTTGGCAGAATTTTTCATCCTCTGGTTCATTAAAGAAGGGGTAGGGAAATAAGTTTAACATATTAAACATAGGTGTTCATTGTACAATGCAATAATGCTATGGAGGGAACAAAGAAAGCTTCATGAAATATACACATTTCATTTTCTTTCCTCGTATTGGTAAAATGTGAGAATACATGAAAAGTGTTCTTTTGTATTTGTTGAACTTTGCTTTATATGAATTATACAATTGTAGATACTTTTACCATTATGTCACAATACTGTTAAAACAGACATTTACTCACGTTCATGAAGTTTCAAAAGTTCTGAAATTCATGTAACATTCATAACTTCAAGTTTTATTTTTCTTGAAATATATTTGTTGATATATCTATCATGCAACCAAGAATATCAATGGGTGCTTTTTAGGCCTAAAACATTTCTTTTCTGAACACTTTTGTACAATACACAATATAAGTATCATTTGATAATGGTGTTTTGTAGAACCAAAACTTAAAATGTTGTCAGTAACTGATCTTACACTGCATCAGGGTTGATGTGGTCCCCCTCCCCCCATTTTCTTGAGATTTTGAAGATTATAAAATTCTCTATTTTTCAACCATTTATCAAATGAACAAATATTTCTGATTATTCATGGGAATCATAGCTCAAAATGTTTAAAATTTGATTAAATGAGAAAACAGTCTAAATTTTTAGTTTCTGATTGGCTGAAATCTGTCAATGATTTGAAATTGACCAATGAGAAAGAAGCAGCTCCAAAGTGGTTCTCAGATTATGTTTTTCTATTTTCATAAACATACTTGTCTGTATGAACATCATTAATTTACTAGTCTCTGATATTCCATCACAAGCTTTAAGTGCAATGTTTATATTTCTAATTGTAAGGAAAAACTAAAAATATGTGTAATATTTGCATTGTTTTTCTGTGAAAGAAGGCATCTTATAAAAATGCATTTATTATTACCATGCAAACTTCCCAAATTTTTGTTTGATGTGATTTTTTGTATAGGTTTTTTTATCATGTTTTTTTTTTTTTTTTTTTTTAACATTTTATTATCGAGTGCTCTAGCCGAGATGTTTCAGCTTATTAAGGCATTTCTGAAGATTATGTTTTAAATTATTGTCATTTGTTATGAATAATATAAAATCGTTCTGTTTTGAGCAGATTCATTTTATGATTTAAAAGTGGAATACATGGTTTTGTTGTTAGTGAGATATTACCCGGATCCACCTGAACTTTTAAAATGGACTTGTCCAGCTTTCAAACTTGGAAGTGTCCATAAGAAATTTTGGGGATACTATGATATGATGAAAGTTTAAACTTCAGGTCAGCTTACAGTATAGAGCCTAGTCAGACTGGGTGGATGTGCAGGCTGGCCTGGTTTTATTCTATTGGTAAAGGCTGATCATTTTTCAGGGTCTAAAAGAGTAAGGGATTAAAATAGCATTAAAGTTCATAGTTACATATAAAATTTCACTTTTCAAATTTTTGAAATAATTCAGGTAAAAAGAAAATACTGTAGGTGAAATGTATTGACATATGTACAGTGAAACCTTTCTACAAAGACCAGTATCATGGAAATAGTAAAGGTGTTTGTTTGGGTCAAGTTGTCTCTGTAAAGAAGTAATTTTTCACCATATTAATTTTTATTTGATTTGGGTAAAATACTGGTTTAAAATGACAGGATTTTATATGATATTGTTTATGTCTTTTTTTGTTCAAGAGTGGGGCCTCTATGGTAGTGTGGTTATTTGTTTTTGACTATGAATTTCTGAAAATTATCTCTAGATAGCCAGGTTGAATTGTTTCATGGAAGGGACCTGCCATACTGGCTACGAAAGATTTAGTTTTACTCCAGTGCTTGCTATTGTCTGAAATAATGCACCAAACTTTTTCCTCTATTAGTAGAGCTGTAAATTCCCCCATAAGAACTTTTACCATAATGGTGTGATTTAACAGGTATCCATCCAACCTTATTTGGCAAAAGAAGCAAAGTTTTGTCTGTGTTTAAATGATGCATAATACTTTGAAAAATGATACTTAATGTTCTTTTAAAGTTAGAATAATATATTTTGAAATTTTTTGTTCTCTATATTATAGGGATTTTTCTGTTAAAATGTTTTGTTTATGGTCTAAATGTTTTCTTTGTATGGTTTGTATTTGCCTAACAATTACTGTTGAATCTTTGTATGACATGGGAAGACCGCATTGTTGTCCCAGATATAAAAGGGGAGATAATCTGGTTGTATCAACCATTATTCATTGAAGTCTCATTATACAGGGGTGAATGTTTTGAAGTTTTGTGTATATCGGCAGATGTCTTCATTTCTTTTTCTTATATTAAATGTTATGTAGAATTTGTAAATTTTAAAGAATACATTTCATGATGATTTTCTTCTGAAATGTCTCTTTGGGGACAAAATTGCACACATTTGTTGTTCTTGTAGCAAAGTAATTTTGACTGTAGTTATTTTAGGGTCATAGACCTGATCATCTGTGACAGGATGATTTGGTACATATCTGTGATATTTAAGGCCGAAAGAAAAATCTGTTTGATTTCAATATGTTCAATGTATTGTCTTTATAGATTCTTTTTTTCAGATTTGAGCTCCATGTTTTGTATGGGTAGGTGTAATATATCTTTGGTGATGTCTGTGCATTTTTGATCACCTTAAAGATCTGTAACTCATTTTTTTATGGTTTTATATCATAAATATAATGCTCAAATGAAGATTCATGTATATTGTAAGTTCCAAAAAGCATTATTTATAAAGATATTACCGAATTTACATTTCATGTTAAAAAGGGAGGTAATAAGTTTTTTTTTCTATAAAGTCTAAGTCAAATTTTTCAATAAGAAATGAATGCACATATTTAATGATTACATATAAAATATCAAATATTTGCAGTACATATTGACATATTCTCCGATGTTCGAAAATTGTTTTAGAAGCATACAGTAAATATATATATCCATATGTTAAATTTCACTCAAGTGTGGTTAAAATCTTAATTAAAACATACAGGATCTTTAAAACTTTAACCCAAATATAATTCATGTTTTAGATTTGGTTAAGGTTAATTATAATCTGTTACTAAAATCGGCATATGTCAATTATATAGATTTTTATATCCCTCCTAAATTGTACTAATTTGATACCATTTCATATTTAATAGTTTTGTTTAATTTATTAATTGATAAGGAGTCTTGATGTTAACCTGTTATTATAGAAAATATCTAAAATTGGCTTGTTCATCTTTTAATCTGGAACATTCATCATTTTTAGGGAAAACTGAATTTGTACTAACTAAGTAGCGAACAGTGTTGACTATGATTAGTTTACCTGGATGTCCCAGCGGAGTAACCTATATAAACTTGAGAAAACTTATAATGTTATAGCTCTCTCCCCAGGCTGCTCTCCTCACGTAAATTTTGTGCTATATTAACATATATTCTATATGTAACGTTGCTTCACCTCGTTTGTTATTTCAGTTTTCGGGTTGCTAATATGCACTTTTACCCCGGAAGACACTTATTACATGTACAGAGTATTAATAATATAAAAATTACGTCATGGGCATTTACTAAAAATTCTCATTTTATCATATCCATTATCTTTGTTGGACTACAATCATGTACAATGTATTTCAGTCTCATTTTGTTTGAAATTTACAGATTAAACAATGTTGCTAATACTGATATGAAATTTATTAACTGTCAAAAATATATATATATTATTCCATTGGTCAATATACATGATGTGTGGAATAATTTGAAGTAATTACATATTATCCCTATGGAAGTTAAAGGGAATTAACATTTGCTATCATAGTGTGCTATCTTTTTTTGTTATCTCTAATTGCATCTTCACCCTATTACATACATGTGACATCCCGGCGGGATTTAAAAAAATCCCGATATTTCAACACTGATCCCGATTCCCGATATTACAGCTTGAATTCCCGATATTAAAAAAAAAAAATCAACATAAAAAAAATCAAACACAGCACCAGTATCTAAAATGTAAACCGTGCCTCCGGGCATTGATTGTTATCTGTCCATATCCTAAATTATAGCGGATTAAATGTTGAGTCGCTAATTGACAGCAAGGTGACGTAATAAACAGTTCCAATACCCAAAGTTATTCTCACATGTTTAACTTATCACGTGTGGTGTGTCAATCAATTTGAACTCTTTTGTCATTTGGCAGTTAGGTATTACACGCTACGTCATCAAAACTACCCTGTAAATTTACATGTATGAATTCGGCTCAACCTTTGATTTTCTTTGATTAGTGCCGCACTGATAAAGATAAAAGGTGAGCAGAATCATTTAAAGTGGATCATTCAAAAACCTGTTCGAGATGTCTAATTAACCTACTGTTAGTGAGTGGGTAAATTTTTGTTTTGTTTAGGAATTACACAATCATCGAGGCAAAAATGTGGATTTAATTAATGGAACGATTCTTGCATTTATTTTGAGTCTTCTACTTATGTTACGTTATTTAACTGTCATAGTCTTGTGTTCATGAATAGTTGTTGCACGTTTTCAAATAGCTTGTGTTTAATTATTGAATGACTGAAAAGACAAATAATTCTTCAAGCTGAAAATAATGAAATGTGAAAATGTGACTGTTTTAGAAATAGCTTGTATGACTACACTTATTTATTTATCTATTTTTTTTTTTGTGAAATGAATTCATATTGATCAACAAAAAAATCATTAAAAGTATAATCATTTAATGATTTTGAGGGTAATATAGATTCTTTGAACCAAATGTGCCAAACACGCATTGAAATTCGAGTCGATAAAAAAATCCAGTTTTGAGCCTCAAAATCCAGCTGAAAATCCAGATTTGGCCCATTTCATTTGTCACATGTATGCTATTAAGATAAGTATAAATTTGCAGATATGAATAAATATATTGGAATCAAATGGATAAGTTTTTCATGGCCTCATGTTATTAGGTACCTATACCAAGAGACATTTTATGATCTGCGTTGGGCAGGGAACCATTACTATATATGGTCCATGTTATATTTTCTTCCATTATGTTTCAATATTTTACTTTTTAATTACATAGAGTATTGATACCTCTAATAGGATGTCTTTTGATTTAAATAGTAGGAAGAATTTTTTTTTAGAAAATTGAAACAGCATGTTTTTTATGCAGTGTCAGTTTACGGAAAACATTTTTTTCCAGGCAACATTATTTGTATGGGTTCTTTCCAGGCAACATTATTTGTATGGATTCTTCCGAGGCAACATTATTTGTATGGATTTTTTCCAGGCAACATTATTTGTATGGGTTCTTTCCAGGCAACATTATTTGTATGGGTTCTTTCCAGGCAACATTATTTGTATGGGTTCTTTGTTTGCCTGAGAGGGCTCTACACTTCATCCCATAAAAAATGATAAAATATTTAAAAAGTTATGGCAGAAAGTAAATTCTGGACCATCTTTTGAAAATTTTTTTTTCTGCCCAATGCATATCACACTGATTCACATTTTTAGACACCGTAGTTAGATATTTTTAAAAAATTTGTTGAAAAGGGCTTTTATTCTTTTTTATTAAAATTTAGGGTAATTAAAAATTTTTTTTTTTTTTAAAATTCCCAATTCAAAACCTTTTAAAAATTTGGTTTATGTGTTAAAATATACATGTATAGTAGAATTTTAAAACTGTTTTATAAAAAAGGGTTTTTTTGTAAATTTCTAAAAATTGATAAAAATAAAAATTAAACAAATTCTTACCACCTACAACTTTGGTTTGTTGTCATATATGATAATGTTATTGTGGTTTTAGTGCACATTTAAGTTCACGAGTAATGTATGTATTGTTATGGCATAAAATGCTTTCCGCATCAATGCTTTCCTCAAATTACAGCATACATAATTAAATGTTTGCGGGTCTGTGTGAAGTGTTTTTAACGTTTTCCTCGTGAACATTTAGTTAAATATTTGAGCTTGCATGCACAGTGATTATGATGTCGCCATAAAACTTCTTGTCAATAGTTTTGGCTGCGTATTGTGTGATCGACCAGTTACCGTGTTCGCAGCCTCAGCAATATTCAGTCTCAAAGTTGGCATTGTCTATTACGCATAGCCTGTTATTATAGTGCAGAACCTGTAATTATAGTGCGTATGTACATGAATAGCATATTGTGTGTATATATATTATTATATGTACACCAACTCTGTATCGTTTTTTCTTGCGATTGTCTTAACCTTCACACTGTGCAACCGCCTGATCTTACCTTTCGGCCATGATGATAAATAATTGTCTGAATTCAAACAATGATGTCTGGCATGGCTTATCAGTATGGGAATGATCACTGATGGTGATTAATCAAAGTTATTTCACAATGGTCTATCAAAAATGCTGATTAATACCAAAGACTTACAGCTAAATATTGTTGCATGTAAATCCATTGCATTTATTGCAAAACCAGATGGAGAGGGTTTCCGCTTTCAATATGAAAAATCCAAAATACACTTGTAATGTACAAGACTGTATAAATGCTCATTTTCAACTGCGTTTTAGAATTAAAGGTTAACTTTAATTTTCATCTACATTTTAACAAGTCAATTGACATATAGAATATGACAAGTGCTGCGTAAACTTGTAAAATTGATGTCAAAAATTCATAAATGAAGTTCGTTCAGACTATAGCAATAAAATGATTTGAAGTGCAAGTTATAAGGACATAATTATGTATATAGATTTTATTTCTGCAGTGACCCTTTAATATAATACATTTTAAAAACAACATGCATGGTACAAATACAGAAAGCCATAAATGAGAATTTAAAAAAAGCAAGAAAGAGAGACTTATTTCCCATTTGTGAGTACCTGTGGTTTTGGTGCCATGGAACATAAGGCCTTTATCCATAGGCAAAATGAAATTTTAAAATTGTTTAAAAATTATTTTCAACATATTTGGACAAGAATTTTAAGCATTGTAACCCACATTATTCAGTTTTAAAACAGATAAATAAAAACTAGAAAAGCAAATGATAATAAGCATTCGATATTTTATCTTAAGACAAACTACAATAAAGACAAATTATCATTTTTCATAGTAAAAAAAATAAACTCAATACTAAAACATTTGACAAGATACAAATACGTAAATATGATAATGTAGGACTTAGAATTTAAAAATAAGTAGCACTTAGAGTAAAAGAAATGCAGCATTCCATATCAAATGTGTTAAAAGATAGACGAAATGAGTTATAACCATTCTTGTACCAAAACAAAATGTTGTTAATTTAAAAAACATGTAAAAAGTATTGAAAAATTAAAAAAAAACCCTGTCAATTAGTTACTTCTTAACAGATATTTTGAAACAAGGTAACCTGCCAATGCTAGATAGATAATCTGCAAAACGAACAACTACGAAGCAAAAGGACTTGGAACTAAATCTTAGAGCTTTGGAATTACAAATGTTCATCAGTTACTTAAGAATGAAAAGTGGCTTGTGGGATGAATTGTTTTTCCATTTCACCAGGAGACAGACCATTTTCTAGTTTATACATACCAAAGCGTGATCTGATCTACACGTATGTTGACTGGTAAAAAATTGAATGCAGCATAAACAGCTTGCAGGGTGATACGTTTGTTTATTTGTATGCCCCAACACACAGACTGGGCAAGAACATATAAATTTGCCTTTGTTCGTCCGTCCGTCCGTCACGCTGTTCAATACATTGAAAGAAGCTTGAATCAATTGTACATATATTTGTGACCAAACAGTACAATATGGGTGCTCCCCAACCCTCTTCTTCAGAATTAAGCATGTAGGCTTATTTTGAAATAATTATGATCGCTTAAACCTAAAGTTCAATAGTATACATATGAATTTAAAGTTTTTAAAAAGTATACATAGGTAGAATTTTCTGTGTGTCAAAAACTTACGTTTTTTCGTCAGTTACAAAAATGTATAATAATAATACAAATAATAATAATAATAATAATAATAATAATAATAATAATAATAATAATAATAATGATGTTTATAATAATAATATGATAATATTGATAATGATAATAGTAAAATCTTATTCAGAGAAGGTAACATACAAATTTACACAATAAGAGAGCATGCATACATATTTTTATTTTCATTCATTCTTTAAAAATCAAAAGTAAATCGAAAATCAAAATAATTAAAAATGTAATAAAAAACAAAAAAATTTACACTCGCCCCAGCCCAAAATTTATAAAGGGGGTAAATTTTTCATAATGTTTTTAAAAGTAAATAAAAAAATAATTTTTAAAAATGTTTTAAAAAGATTGTAAAGTCAAACCCATTTTTGAGGGAGGGGGTTTCAAAATTTTCATACCAAAATAAAAAAAAAGCCTTTAAATGTTTAAAATTTTTTATTTAATGGGGGAAAAGTTTTGGGAAAAAAAATAAAATTTTCATTGAGCCTAAATTATGAAAATTTTAAAAAGGTTTTGAAAATTTTAAACATTTTCATTCCCATATCCCAACCCTTGCGCAATTTTAAATTTTAAATTTGTCCCCCATAATTGCGTGTCTCACACAAAAAATTTAAATTTTAAAAAGCCTTTAAAATATAAAAATTTTGGGTAAATTTTCCCGGGTCTATTAAATTTTTTTTTGGTACCCCTTTTGGGTTTTAATTTAAACTTTTTGAGAAAATTAAAATTGGGGGGCGCTTTCCCATACCTACAAAAATAATAAAGAAAATGGCAGGATTACCTTTGTAAAAAGTATGTCTTTTTTTTACTTTCCATTTAAGGTAAAAAAAACATCATTTAAAAAAAGGGCAATTTTTGAAAATAGTTTTATTTTTGGCAAACTAGTCTTTTTGATAATGCCATTTAAATACATGAATTTAAAAAATTTTCATAAAGGGTTTTTCCATTTTTTTTTGGGCACATCTCTTTTTTTTAAATTTTTTTGGGAATTGGCATTTTTCCAAAAAATACAATTTGAATAAAAGGGAAAAACCCCAACTTACTGGAAAGGTCTCTTAATTTGCCCTTAAAAAGATTTTTTTAATCAAAAAAAAAAGGGCTTTCAAAATTTATGAAAAGCGGGCCTTTCTTGCCCTTTAGTAATAATACAAAGAAATCCCAAACCAAAAAACCCATGAAAACTTAAAACCCAATAAAAAAAGGGAAAGATGACCTCGTATCTAACTGTGAACATTTTAAATTTTTAATATTGAAAAAAAGGAAATTTTAACTCAGGGAAAGTTTTCATTACAAAACCCCTTATTAAAAACTCTTTGTAAAACAAATCAGGGCCCCCCCCGGGCCCAAAAATTTGGGGCCGGGGGAAAATTTAAACCTATGATTTTTTTTGAAAACCCCGGGTTTTGGGTCAAAAATTAAATTAAAAAAAATCAAAAATTTCCCAAATATTTAATCTTCAAGAAAAGGTTTTCCCTTTATTCCGTGGGGGGTGGTTTTAACAATTTTTTTTAACTAATCTTTGTAGATGTAGAAAAGAACATTAAAATTAAAAAAAAAGTTTTTTAAAATTTAAAAAAAATGTTGAGGTTTCCTGGTTTTCGCCCTGTTGGGCCCCCCTACGGGGTGTGCGTTCCGTGTTTGGGTTTTAACCCCAAAAAAAAATAAAACCAAACGACTTTTACAAAACAGTTTTTCTCGTAAAATAACGATTTATGAAATGTTCGTAGGGGAGCAATGTCTTCTGGTAATTACATCCCTTTACGCATTTGTTTTGTAAAACGACTTCTTTGACACCAAGGGAAAGGAGATCCTTTAAAATTCAAAGGACAACAATCTTTTATCTTCAGAAAGCACGTTCTATAAAACATTCATCCAAAAAATTGATATTAATTGTTCCCCTTTTCCATCGTCATTACGGGTCTCCGAAATTATAACACCCATCTGTGACGGAAAAAAAATTTCTGTTCATGGGCCCTGCAAAACTGAAAATGAAAAGACGACGATCTTTTTTCCTTGAGTTTAATAAACAAAGAGGATAACGATTTATTACATTTGTCCAAAACATGTTTTATTTCATATCTTTTTTTGATACATGCCATAGATATATGCTCTTGTCACATATATATTGAGTGACAATTATATATGTCATGGAGTACAGACCCCAGACTAGGGACGGAGTGGTGATTATCTATCTCCATGCAATTGAATATATATACTGACTGAAAACAACAAAAATGTTCAAAGAAACATATAAATAATATTATCTCAGAAATTGAAGAGCACAAAATATCACGCCAAAATATAAATAAACAAAACTTAAAATGCTATGCTTACAAATAGTTTTCTTTCTTATTACCTCCTATTTCATTTATAACATCAATACTCTCACAAAACTACTTGATATATGCTAAAAATCTATGCTCTGCATGTTGTTTGTTGGCGGAAAAGACTTTTAAAACACTTATACTATATAAATCTGTTTACATGTAAACTGTTCCACGCCTACCCACCCCGACCAGCCCACTGGGCACAGTCATTTTTTAATATCAGTGAAATAATTTTGGGAACAATTGCAATGTTCTTTATGTATGATGCATGCCAAATAACTGAGAATTGGGCATTTGTAACTTTTAACAATAAGAATACGAGGGCTTGCCCGGAAAGTTATGTAGACAAAGCTAATAAAATTATAATAAAGCAGTCATATGAATATGATGATTGAAAAGTTTGCTTAAGTATTTTATCTGCCTACATAAATTTCTAAATTAAAAAAAAAACACAATACATGATAAAAAGATAGTTTCGGCAAAGTTGGCCATTCATCATGGCACCATGATCAACGAATCACGGAGCACTTTTGATTTCTTTAAAAATAGCTACTCGAATGATAAGTTGCTAAAAATGCCATTTTAACGCAAACCATCTCGTTTTTTAAACTCATTACAATCAAAATAATACTATTGGCATGAAATATTTAAATGAAAATTATGACGTCCCATGGGCACATAAACAGCTTGGTTACGACAGAAAGAGGCAATGACAGTGCCGGTAAATTTTGTTTGCAAATAAATTCAAAGACGGAGCAACGTAATGTTATTTAACTGCATAGCAACGCAAGTATGACACCAACTGAGATTTTAACATTTTAACCTGTACTTAAAAAACAATATCAATTGCACATTGTTAAATGCTTCTTGTGTTCAAATGTCAAGCAAGATTAAGAAGCGAATATAGTATATCGTATAAAAAATGCCCCAGACGACTAAACGTAGCATGGCCGAAATATTGTAGAATGCGTTACAACAATCTTTGAAAAAGACAGATATGTCACATATACGGTATTGGAACCTGAGTCGCATCTTTGTTTTTAAATAAATTGTAGCATGACAAATTCATAAAGTAATGGCACAAAATATCACATGTATTAAGTATACGCAAGACAGCGACCATGGCTGTTGAAATTGGAAGAAACTGAATAGTGGGGTAAACTGGGAATAATTTACGCCGTTTATGTTCCAAAAATGCTACTTGAGATTATATTGTTTTAAAGAAAATAAAATGTTTAAAAACAAAAAATCACAGCCCTTAAAATTTTTGATAAATGTGTTTCTAGATATTATCATATATTTTTGCTACAAAAAATTTTTACAAAAAATATGCATTAAAAAAAAAATGAAAAAATATACTTTTCCCCGACATCCCCCCGTACAAAAAATGAAAAATAAGTTTTTTTTTTTCTATTTAACCCAGGAGGGAGGGCCAAATTGATCCAAAGATAAAGATTTAATTAAAAAAAATTTTAAAAGTCAAAGGGGGCTTTATGCCCAAAAAAAATTTTCCTAAAAAATATAATTAAAAATTAAAAATAATTTTTTTGGGATAAAGTGTCCCAAATTTCCTTTTTGTCATTTTAAAACTTTTTAAAACAGGGAAATTAAATGAAGTGGTAGGGGATGGGTCAAATTTAAAAATTTTTTTCTCCTTAAAAATATATATTTTTTTAAATTTAATAAACAGATACAGCCCCTTTTATCAAACCTTCAAACCCCCAAACATTCCCTTTTAATTAGGGGGAGATGCCCACAAAATTTTTTAAAACAGTTTTTTTCATTCCCAAAAATTTTAAAAAACGTTGGTATTGGGATTATACCTTTTAAATCCGGAAACAAAAAGCCCGTAAGCCTCCCTTTAATTTTCCAGAGCACCCAATTTAGCCACCGCACCTTTTAACAACTATAAACGATTAACACAGGGCCCTTTATTTGTAAAGGGAAATTTAAACTTTTCTGCATTAAAAAGCAGACCGGGGTACAGTGGGGAAAGAACCCTTTGAAAAAATTTTATAAAGTCCCAACCGGGAAAAGGGAACCCGAAAACCCTCCGGGGAATTTGAAAATCGGGGCCCATTTAGAAATTTCCAAAAACTTTACCTTTTACTATCCGGAAAAGGGTAAAATTGATAAAAAAATATTTATGCTTATGCCCTCTTTTTTTCAACTTATTTTTATCAAATAAAATACTTTCTTTAGTTAAAAACAGTTTTTTAAAAAACAATTTTTTATTTCAATAACAAAAAAACCCTCAATTAAGACCAAAAATCGGGGGTGGGCCAAAGTTTGGGCTTAATTGGGGGTTGGGGCTTTAATTTTGGTTTTCCAAATTTTTAAAAATTTTTGACCAAAGGTCTATTTTATTTATTTTTGGAAAAAAACAAATGTATTTTTAAACCCGGCCCAAATTTTTAAAGTATATTATAAAAAGTTTCATCTATGGGGGAAAAAAAATATTTTTTCTGAAAGGAAAAAATTTTTTAAACAAAAATTTAAAATTTTATCTGATATAAATTTTTATATAAATTTTCATAATACAACCATCCACTAATGTCTTAACCCCAAAAACCCTCTAAAAAATTTCTTTCTCAACCCTTTTTCATAAAAATATCCCAAAAATATAAAGGGGGTTTTTACTTTTAAAAAAGGGAAATTTCAAGGCCCCCCCCACATTTTAAACAAAAAATAACCATAAAAAAAAATTTTAAGAAACTGTTGACTTTAAAATGGTCCAAATTTGTGGGGGCAAATAAAGAAAAAATTTAATTTAATTTGGGCTGAATCTTGGGGGTCTTTAAAAGGGAAAACGATGGCAAAATTCCCATTTAAAACCCTTGACATAAAGAACAGAAAAATCCGTTTTTATTTTAAAAAAGGTCTTTAAAGTAGCGGGGGGGTAAATTTCCCATATAAAACCTATAAAAATAAAAGCTCTTAAACTATTATTATCTCAACAGGTAATTAAAAATACAATATATGAAGTTTTATAAAAAGAAATAAAAGTTAATATATTTTGGAAAATAAAAAGAGGTAAACACATATATATTTGGAGGAAACATATTTATAAATTCATATATTGTCATTTCCCTTATTGTAATATATACGCGTATATAAGGATTAAGAATGACTCAATGTGACCTTGACCTTAGGCAGTCCAAAAACTCCGCTCTGTGAACTCATCTCAGTTATATAATTATTTCGTCCAAATAGATTTAATTATTTCATACTATTGATACTATTGGTTTAAAAGAAACAGAGCGGACACAAAATTTTGCAATGGATACAAAATGAGTATGTGTGACCTTGACCTTGACCTCAGAAAGGTCAAACCTGCGCTCATTATGGTTAAAATTTCTGCTAAGTAGTTTCAATTTCCTTCCACCGGCTCAAAAATACAGACCGGACAAGAAATCCGACAACAGACGGACGGACAGACAAACAACCAGATGCTTAACAACATAAGCCGAAATTCTATCGGGCGTATAAACAACTAACTATACACTTAACTTAGAACAACAAAACGAACGCAATACCAACCATCATCGGATACTCAAGGCCGAACTATCAACATTGATTTATATCATGTTTAATCAACCATGGGTGTCCGTTTATGAATGCCAGCATACTTGACTAAGACTTAAGCAACAAAAATTAACATGAGAGTTGAGTTTTCCATTGAATGCATCAAATAAAAAATGTATGATGCAATACCTTTGATACAATTCTTGGCATCTGCGTCGTATCTATAGAAACGGCTACAGTAACATCGTTCTTTTTTGCACACTGCACCGGTCTCTTTACAATCTGAGTTAACTAAACACGCCTTTCCAATTGTTTGTTCTACAAAGTTAAAGATATATAATTCAAGTTTTAATACTAGAAATGAAATAAAAAAATGTTTAAACCAAATTTCGTAATGATAGTCCAAATTTCAAGCTGAATGAACTGCTGAAGTATTGCAAACTTTTAAGTTGTGAGTTTAAGTATGATGTTTCAAATTAATTTAATAGGACTTTATCGCCGCCGAACAATCAACTTTTATGTCAACACTAATATCTGTTTTGATAACTTTAATATCGCAAAAAATATCTGTTTTGATAACTTTAATATCAACAATGATAATTATATGTTTTGTTATTTTTAATTTTACCAAAAACTATAATTATTTTAATAACTTTATCACCAATAATATCTGTTTTGATAACTATAATATGGCCTATAATATCGGTTCATGTTTTGATAACTTAAATACTAGTATCATCATAAATATCTGTTTTGATAACTTTAATATCAACATTCATATCTCTTTTGATAACTTTAATATCAACAATAATAACTAATTTAGTACACGTATAATACCATTGCTCAGTAAAAACTATTTTATTGTTACATGTATCTAGTGCATTATCAATATTCCATGGGTAGACAAACCTTGGCAGGTAGCCTCAGATTCTGTCCAATCACCATTCAGTTTGCACGTTATGTTCTTGTCACCACTTAGGAACATATTATCTGGACAAGCGAACACGTAAGAACGGACAGTGCCAGCAATGACCGAGGCATGTTCCTCAACCCTTTGATCTGAATGCTGTGGAATCTTGCACGCTAAAAATCAAAGAATAAAACTTAATTACGTAGTGTATTTAAAAAGATTACTCAGGTTTATTTTTCAAATATGCAAAAATATTTATAAAATAAATACCAAAAACGAAGATTATCGGAAAAGAAAATTCTCACTCACTCACTCACTCACTCACTCACTCACTCACTCACTCACTCACTCACTCACTCACTCACTCACTCACTCACTCACTCACTCACTCACTCACTCACTCACTCACTCACTCACTCACTCACTCACTCACTCACTCACTCACTCACTCACTCACTCACTCACTCACTCACTCACTCACTCACTCACTCACTCACTCACTCACTCACTCACTCACTCACTCACTCACTCACTCACTCACTCACTCACTCACTCACTCACTCACTCACTCACTCACTCACTCACTCACTCACTCACTCACCCACTCACTCACTCACTCACTCACTCACTCACTCACTCACTCACTCACTCACTCACTCACTCACTCACTCTCTCTCTCTCTCTCTCTCTCTCTCTCTCTCTCTCTCTCTCTCTCTCTCTCTCTCTCTCTCTCTCTCTCTCTCTCTCTCTCTCTATCTCTCTATCTATCTCTCTATCTATCTATCTATCTATCTATCTATCTATCTATCTATCTATCTATCTATCTATCTATCTATCTATCTATCTATCTATCTATCTATCTATCTATCTATCTATCTATCTATCTATCTATCTATCTATCTATCTATCTATCTATCTATCTATCTATCTATCTATCTATCTATCTATCTATCTATCTATCTATCTATCTATCTATCTATCTATCTATCTATCTATCTATCTATCTATCTATCTATCTATCTATCTATCTATCTATCTATCTATCTATCTATCTATCTATCTATCTATCTATCTATCTATCTATCTATCTATCTATCTATCTATCTATCTATCTATCTATCTATCTATCTATCTATCTATCTATCTATCTATCTATCTATCTATCTATCTATCTATCTATCTATCTATCTATCTATCTATCTATCTATCTATCAATCAATCTATCAATCAATTTATTCAATAAATTTAATCAATCAATCATTTAATCTCTTACTAGTTATTCTGCAGTACGTTTTGTTTATACATGTATAAAGACATGTCATACAAACAACATGATATCTCGATGTATTACGTACACTAACCTTAACCCACAAATAGCTTAAAATAAAATGTTTTAAAACATTTAAATCGTCATTTAAACTTAAGTAGGAGAATTGTTTTATGCCGGAAAGTTCTTTTTTATTTTAAATAATGTTTATAGTTTTGCTTAATTCCGAAGCAGAGGTAATTTTAACAATACTGAACAGTTACGGATGTATATAATGCAATTTCCTTATTAATATTTTCGCATTTCTACGAGTGTGAGTCAAAGAGACAACACTAAGTTTGTCGTATTGATGTTTGGCACGCCTGAAAGGAATTGTCAACATTCATCACAGAATAAAAAAATGAAATGCAATAACAGCGAAACAAACATAATTTTAAGGAACTACAATAACATATTATATTGTGTGTTTAAATCAGACATTATTAAGATTATGAAGTATTTCCTACTTTCTTTTGAATGGATGAATTAAATTTCCTTTTTTATTTTATAATCAATAAAATGTATTTGTTTCGGGTTGGGTACAAAACATAGTCTTAAATTTATGCATTTGATAAATTATTCACTACTTTTATATTGTTGTTGTCAAATGGTATAATTATTGACAGTGTCGTGTAACAGTGTAACAGACTGTAAAAATATATTGCAAATTTTCAATAATTGTCCAATTCACATATTGATTTGAACTTTTCGGACATACTCTTGGTTTTTGTTTTAAACAACGCATACATTGGACCATTCGAAAATATCGGAGAACATTATTTCTTTTTGTTTTGTTGAAGTCCGATGAAGATACTGTTTCACTACCCAGATTATTTATTTATCTATTCATTCATTCATTTAATCATTCAATCATTCATTCATTCATTCATTCATTCATTTGTCCATTCGATCTTACTCATAGTTCTTCAGTAAGTTTTTTTTTGTTTATATAGATACAACTCTGTTTCATGTTTGCATTGTCATACTACAAATATTATATCTAGATATATAACGTAGAGTCGCCTTATCTGCATTTAGATCTAGATGCAAAGGTTTTAAACATTTTAAACTTTCATAAAACTGAAGTACGCAAATTGTAATTATGACCGAAAATGCTATTTTTATTTTAAACGATGTTGCTTAAAGGTAAATAAAGCCCCAGAAATACATATTTTTTATTTTTTAGAAATGTAAAACAGGTGTTAACTTATATTTCAATAATGAAATTAGTGCATGATACATGTTTAAATACTGAAAAAAGTAGCCCTCAACAAGCCGTACTGTGCCATCAAGGTAGCACAATGTACACATAACAGAATTTTGAGTTTCATACAAAATACTTATTTATTATGATTATGCCATTGCTCATAGAGCAGAAACAGCAAAAGATAGTCCATGTTTATGTAAAATAAAAATATTTTAGAAACTGTTACATAATACAAATCAAAGGTTTTTGAGATATAAATTTTATAGCATTTCTGAATTATAACGGGCCTTTAATTTCATAGCAGAGATAGATTTTACACACATTAAAGTTTTTTATGTTTGCAATCTACTTACTGATATTTTCGCATTTATACGAGTCAGAGTCGAGAGGAAAACAACGCTGAGTTTTGTCGCATTGATGGTTGGCACACCCTCTAACCATGGCCTGAAAAAATAGCCCGAATCCATAATAGAACAGAACAAATCTTATTACATGTTAACTGTACAGTGTGTAGTGTTTAAATAGCAATGAATAATACATTGAATTTTATATAATACAATATTGGACGATACATATAGGATGAAAACATGCATACATTACAGAATGAATACAAAAAATGCATCATGTAATTGCATGTTGAAGAACAAAGAAATAAAAACACATACATTTGCATTATGTGATAATGTTTGAATTCAATTTTTTTTATCTATATTAGATACTTAAAATAGAAAATAGGAACTATTACATTATACCTAATCAGTCTTAAAAAGGAATTATTAAAATGTGAATATAATGATAATGTAAATGAACTACCATACTTCAAACAATTACATTTGAAATAATTTCATTTTTAATTTTAAAAGCCCCGAAAAAATATTTTCTAAACGTAAGTAATTCTGAAAAATTTTGACTATTTGAAAGGTAACTAATTTACACATTCTTGTTTTTTGTCTGAAAAATGTCTTTATATATTTCGACGAATAACAAAGAAAAACAAAATGGTATTCATCTTCGATTACGTTTGAATTACAGATTTGACAATATCGTTGATCTCTTTCTTTTTGATTATATCCCAACCTTCAAGTTTGGATACGAAGATTTAACGTACTTTTGCAAAAGCTGTCCTAACGTTTTTTTTAAAGTAATCTTATTAAATATGGTTCAAAAGCAAACGATTCGTTAATAGCTTTAAAAACGAATAGAGAACTACTTCTCTCCATAACCATTTTTCAATCCTGCACAAATCAAGCAATCAGTCTCTGCTAAAATGTTGAAATGAAATTAACAATTTTGATATTACGAAAATTGTACCATGCCTCTAAAATTCCAATTTGGCTAACATACATTTAACATTATAAAACCAATTTGGCTGATTCATTTCGGCATCAGCTATGGAACTGTCAACGATATGTTTTATAATTAAAATTTCGCTGTTACATATTTTAAAGCAATAATTAAGAAACCGTACATATATATTAATATAAAGAGGGTACCTTCCTAATTCCCCATATTTAGCTACATTGCAGGTAATGTTTTACAAAATATCAAATGTAATGTTTCTAGTTCCTTTGATTTAGTGAATCCCGATATTACACAACCGTATGTAATATTGGATGCAACAAAAGCTACAACTAATTTTGAGGCTAGTTTTGGTTAAGTATTGTATCTTTTTTAAATTTGAAACACGAGCATTCATTGCATTTTATTCTTTTCCACATAATATTTGTGTGTTTAAGATAAAATTCCCAGCCTACATCTAATGAAATACCTAAATAGTTGAAATCATTTACAACTTCTAATTCTTTATTTGCATAAAACAAATGTTCGTCATTTTTCAATTGGCTTCTTTTTCTGAACACAACTATTTTTGTTTTTGGAACATTTAAAATAAACGCCCCGTTTTTTACAATATTCATAATTAAAAATTTCTTTCAAGAGTTTTGTAAGTCTTGTGGAGTAAGTGCTTAGACCATGCCATCTGCAAAGAACAATGATATTAAACAAATATCTTTATATTTTACTACATAGTCTATTCTATCTTGTAAAACAGTTCCAAATCCCCTTCAAATAAAGAAAACATAACTGGCAAAATTATTTCCAATTGCCTTAGAACCATTCAAAGATCAAAATAATCTGCATAACTATTAAAAGACTTAACACCCGATTTTACTGACTGGTACATATTCCGTATGATACGTAACATTTTATCATTCAACCAACTTTGTAAAGTTTCCACTAATTTTAAAAGAGCATTTCTGTTAATTGGACCAAAGCAATAAAACAGCAATATAATCTGTTATTGTCATTTATAAATGTTTGTATGAGAGAGTGGAGATAAAAACAACATCTGTAGTTGAATGGCCCCTTCTAAAACCAAATTGGGCGTCAGATATGACGTCATTTTTCTCGCACAGGCAGTTATTCGCTAGTTTAGAATACATGTAAATAATTTTCCAAAATTACTTAATAAAGTAACGCATCTATAATTCTTAACATCACATTTATCTCCATTTTTATGCAATGAAATAATTACACCTTTGGTCCAAGCTTCCGGAAATACAACGGCGTTGAAACTTGTATAAAATAACTCGGTAATCAATCCAGCTAAAATATCACAACCTTCAATAGAATATTCATAAAATATTTAATTATAAGATTACCTTCGCTGGGAGATTTATTATACATGTATTTCAGTTGCGAAATTGCTATACAAACTTCCTCAAATGTAATATTTCTATCTAAAAAATCGAAATGAAAATTTATATATTCAAATCATCAAAATTATGAGAAACGTTAAATTCTTCCGATTCAGTATGTGGTATATGATTAACATCAGAAAATATTGATTCAAAATGCAATTTAAAGTCTTCCAAATGTACATCTGGGTCAATACAGTTTCTCTTAGTACGAAAGTAACACCAGATATCTCTTGAAAAGCATGACATCTTTTAAATTCATATTTTTGCTGTTTCGTTTTAACAATATTTTTATAATATTGTTTTAATCTACATAATTCTTTCCTGTCTACACTTTGTGTGTATCATTTAAAATAACTAATGCAATTCTGTACAATTTTTTCTTTACATTCAAAATCAAACTATTATTTACTGCTATCTTCAATTTCATATTTATTTCACATTTACGTGATGATGTGACATAACATAATAAACTAAAATATAATATTACAATAGTAGCTTTAAAACCTTTTTTTCGAGGACCAAAAATAACAAAATATAATTCTCTTGTGTTTAAATCAGACCTCGTTAAGATCATAAAGTATTCAGGTGTTTTTTAATGGATGAATAAAACTGCCGTTATTTTCGTTCATAATCAATACAATGTTGTTGTTTAGGGTTTGGGACCAACGGATGAATTTCTCAAATTTCGACGGATGATAATCCCAAATGTATGCCTTTTATAAATAATGCACTATTACTACTCTGTGGTTGTCAAATGGTATAATTTTGAATAACTTCGTGAAACAGACTGTAAAAAATATATTGTTTATTTCTTCAAATGATGATTCTGCAATTAACGTATTGATTTGAACTTTTTCAAACAGTTTTTTATACTTTCAAACAACACATACCTTTGGCCATTCGGAAATATCAGAGAAAATTATTCCTTTTGTTTTTTTGAAGTCTGATGAACGACCTGTCTCACTCCCTGCTGAGTTGAATTCACAAGTTTTGGAACTTGTTATGAAATTGATAGACACACAAGCTCCCAGTAACATGCATTCTTTAGCACATTCGTGATGTGACATGACATTCATGTCAAACAGCTTATAACCAAGTAATTGCTTGTTTAGATGTTCGGGCTTTACCTGGAAAGGCTTGCATGATTGTAAATAAGCAATTCTCGCATATAAAAGAGCGAAAGTCCATAGACGAAGTGTAACGTTGAATCTCATGATTGACACAGTGATAAGTCTCTTTTAGCTATCTGAAATGATAATAGTACCAACTATTCATCAAAAGTACACACTATATATTCATGAGTTGATTTTTACGTTTCGTGGCACTGGATAAACTGATGATATATTTCCATAACTTTCGAATACACATAGGCCTATTTATAAAATTAATACAACACAGTACTTTCTATCCGGTTTATTCGTATACAATTTTAATATTCTTAACAAAATAGATTGTTGAATTAAAACTTTTCATAAACCCATTCTCACACAAACTTAGAAAAAGAATTCCAGTGATAAGGAAACCATTCCGTTGTCAAACATTGAAGGATAATCTCTGATATTTGGGAAGCCACTAATAATTTGTCTTTTAATTAATTTGATTTAACAGACACTATTTAAACAACAATTAACCTGAGCAAATGCCAGCCATATGAAAGATAAGTAGCCATTGATGTTAGAATATTACCATCTAACATTGCTTTGTGACAGCAATAGATGCATTTTGCGGTCCTTGAAAAGACATTTCTTGATACTGGCGACATTGGTGTAAATGCCGATAATGCGTCAAAAATGCTTAGATGATGTTTCAGAAAAAGATTTTTAAATTTGGTGTCGTGTTATAGTTTTCAAAAGGTTACTCAATCATGAATAACCTGAGTCATATATTGCTTCAGTTGCTTTCTAGAAGTTAGTACAGTTATAGTGATTTAGTATTTTGTATTGAAGTAAAAAATCTTTTTTGTTTACATCTTGCTACTTTTGTGACAAATTTCAAATTCAGCGCTACTATTTTTCAGGTAATAAGCCACTAATTTGCTCAAAAATCACTATTTAAACATATTATCATATTAACCGCGACGCAGGTGAATAAAAACGATATAACACTAGTTTAATAACACTTTTGTGTTATATTAAAGCACGCTAATGTTAGCGTTACACAAAAGCCCCGCACCCTCGCCAATTAGCGTGTTTCACCTCGCGACATCGCCAAGCGAAATGTCAAGAATTAACAACTAAAAATGGTGGGAGTGCGGATCCAAAACACGCTGTTTGGCGGAGGCGCTGATTAGCGTGTTTTTGTTCCACGCTCCGCCGTTTTATTTCTTAAATCTCCCTCCCGGACCCCGCGGGACGAAGTTTTAATTATTAAGCTTCGATCCGCGCCCCCGCTAATTAGGGTGTTTTCGTTCTGTGCCCTCGCCATTTTAACTTAATTCTCGAATTTTCGCTTTGATGAGTCGTGGGGCGAAAACACGAATGGCACAAAACTGCCACCATAAACAAGAAGTTTTTGATTGTAAATAAAGAACTATATTTAGAATAATGATTTAAGGCTGATACAAAAAAAAATACAGATATTTAAAAGTCTTTAGCAATTGTACATTCTTTAGTTGATCATTTATGGAACTCCACTACACTGAGATGCAAATGCCTTAATTC